GTGCTTGACCTGGCTAGCCCCTTTGACTTGCCATTTCAGCATTTTGAACAAGGCTGCTGATTCAGCCATCATTTGCTTGCACAAAAGTCTCCCTTCAATTTTTTTTCCAGAACAAAATTTTTATGAATAAATCTCACTCACTCACACAGACACATGTGCTTGCGCACACATACACACATATATATATACAATCAAGAGGCAAACAAGAAAGTCAATTGCAGAGCATCTGCTGATGAAGACAAGAACTGACACACTAACATATCTGTACAATCAATGACCTGATTGGCCACAAAGCTCAGTGTAGCTGACGTGTAGGGTTTCCCCGAGTTGTGACTGGACAGCCTGGATGATTCCTTCTTACGGGGGCTGCCTTTGGGCGAGTGTCTGTCATCGGGTAAGTCCGAGTTGCCTCCATCCTCTGAAAGCATGGACCTCAGAGAACTCTGGAACTCTGTAGCTGCCTTCTCATACCTGTTGTCAGAGACACAGAATAGCCAAAAGAGGAATATTTAACTATTCAGATTTATTACAGGGGTTGCCATGGTGTAGCAGCTAGATCTAAAGATGTTGGGCTCAAACAGAGCTGAGTTGACGTTTTCTAAAGCATGAACCTGGCTCCCAGATCGACCCAGCCTTAATTGGGTAGAAGTCAAGGCAGCCGGTGTGATATTGACCCCTTCACCCATCGAGTGCTGAGTGGTCTATAAAATATAGGTCTAGCGCTATACACCCAAAGGCGCGGAAAAGGGTCCTTTAATTAAATTTAATTTGCTATTTTCAGATTCAATAAACTAATGATATGGCGTACAAAAAAATAAAACATTTATGGAAATGTTAGTAATTTCTGGTGTAATAAAAAAAAAAAATCTTTTATTAAAGCCCAATATCTCCCTTATCCTCAAACCACAATGATAATTAATCGACAATGCTAACTTTCAACATGTACGCACCTTTTATGAGCTTTCTCCGCCGCAGCCTGTATCCAAGTCATACACCTGCCTGTGGTTTCTCGGCACCAATGGTAGACACCCATGATGCTCTCTGGTTCACAAAGTTCACAAAGTGCTTGCACAAGGAACACAACAGCTTGCTCGAACAGAGGGCTCTAAAGGCAAATAAAAAATAAATTATTACTTGTTTGCTTAAAAAAACACACACATAGTTTTAAAAAAAAAGAAAGAGACAGACGCCATTTTCTGCCATAATAGCATCATGGTACCATAACACCCTATGTCACTGGGTACCCCAGCTGCTGTTGACAGATCAGCTCCCTCCACCTCTGTTTGAAAATAAAGTTTGTTCGTTTGTTCTGTCAGTCAGATGCAATGGACTTAATGTGTGCATGTTTGAGGCCTGTCATTCAACCAAATGCTGTATCCACGTCTTTCTTGGTCTCCCTCTTTATCTCTTTCACTCTACAGAGGCCTGTCATTCAACCAAATGCTGTATCCATGCCTTTCTTGGTCTCCCTCTTTTTCTCTTTCACTCTACAGAGGCCTGTCATTCAACCAAATGCTGTATCCATGCCTTTCTTGGTCTCCCTCTTTATCTCTTTCACTCTACAGAGGCCTGTCATTCAAACAAATGCTGTATCCATGCCTTTCTTGGTCTCCCTCTTTATCTCTTTCACTCTACAGAGGCCTGTCATTCAACCAAATGCTGTATCCATGCCTTTCTTTGTCTCCCTCTTCTTCTTCACTCTACAGAGGCCTGTCATTCAGCCAAATGCTGTATCCATGCCTTTCTTGGTCTCCCTCTTTATCTCTTTCACTCTACAGAGGCCTGTCATTCAACCAAATGCTGTATCCATGCCTTTCTTGGTCTCCCTCTTTCACTCTACAGAGGCCTGTCATTCAACCAAATGCTGTATCCATGCCTTTCTTGGTCTCCCTCTTTATCTCTTTCACTCTACAGAGGCCTGTCATTCAAACAAATGCTGTGTCCACGCCTTTCTTGGTCTCCCTCTTTATCTCTTTCACTCTACAGAGGCCTGTCATTCAAACAAATGCTGTGTCCACGTCTTTCTTGGTCTCCCTCTTTTTCTTTTTCACTCTACAGAGGCCTGTCATTCAAACAAATGCTGTGTCCACGCCTTTCTTGGTCTCCCTCTTTTTCTTTTTCACTCTACAGAGGCCTGTCATTCAGCCAAATGCTGTATCCATGCCTTTCTTGGTCTCCCTCTTTCACTCTACAGAGGCCTGTCATTCAACCAAATGCTGTATCCATGCCTTTCTTGGTCTCCCTCTTTCACTCTACAGAGGCCTGTCATTCAGCCAAATGCTGTATCCATGCCTTTCTTGGTCTCCCTCTTTCACTCTACAGAGGCCTGTCATTCAGCCAAATGCTGTATCCATGCCTTTCTTGGTCTCCCTCTTTCACTCTACAGAGGCCTGTCATTCAGCCAAATGCTGTATCCATGCCTTTCTTGGTCTCCCTCTTTTTCTTTTTCACTCTACAGAGGCCTGTCATTCAAACAAATGCTGTGTCCACGTCTTTCTTGGTCTCCCTCTTTATCTCTTTCACTCTACAGAGGCCTGTCATTCAACCAAATGCTGTATCCATGCCTTTCTTGGTCTCCCTCTTTTTCTCTTTCACTCTACAGAGGCCTGTCATTCAACCAAATGCTGTATCCATGCCTTTCTTGGTCTCCCTCTTTCACTCTACAGAGGCCTGTCATTCAGCCAAATGCTGTATCCATGCCTTTCTTGGTCTCCCTCTTTATCTCTTTCACTCTACAGAGGCCTGTCATTCAACCAAATGCTGTATCCATGCCTTTCTTTGTCTCTTTCACTCTACAGAGGCCTGCCATTCAGCCAAATGCTGTATCCATGCATTTCTTTGTCTCCCTCTTTATCTCTTTCACTCTACAGAGGCCTGCCATTCAGCCAAATGCTGTATCCATGCATTTCTTGGTCTCCCTCTTTCACTCTACAGAGGCCTGCCATTCAGCCAAATGCTGTATCCATGCATTTCTTGGTCTCCCTCTTTATCTCTTTCACTCTACAGAGGCCTGTGGTATCATTCTGGAGAGTCCCTCTCTTTCACTCTACAGAGGCCTGTGGTATCATTCTGGAGAGTCCCAGTGTAGGTCCAGGGCCCCATTGTGGGGGGGAAACAAGAACAGACCCAGTGCCCCCCCCCCCTACCCTTACAAGCATGTCGAAGGAGTCGACTAATTGGGGACTTCCTTCGACAACAGAATACATCTGCAAAAGTGGCAAGGAACAACCAGCTGCACACACAATAAGCCAGTAAAACCGATGTACATGAAAAACTCATGCCCTGGCACAAAGTCAAAGTCTGGATGGATGAACAACCAGGACTTTCTCCAGGAGCTTACATCAGGTGAACAAAAAAGAAGAAGATTTTGAAGAGGCTAGATGTCATTACATGTCTGTGCGACTGCATTATCCAGTATTTTTCACTGTTAAAATAGGTTCATAGCTGCCAATGTGCCATATTATAAGAACACTAGATTTAACTGCCCAGAACTAAACACTAAAAGAACACTGTTTTACACAATATTCTAACCAACGCTATGCTATCAATGTCAAACATGGACACTGTCTGCAGAAGACAGAAGGAACATAGTCAAGACAGAAAACTTAGGAAGGATGATATAAGGAGGAGAATCGGCACAGAACCAATACTGAACTTTAAAGGTAGACAACAAATTAAATGGTTTAGCCATGTAACAAGATTGGCAGCAAACAGGGCACCACAGAGAGCAGTGTTATACAGATACAGCGGTAACAGACACAGAGGTCGACCACGCAGAATATGGACCGCAGAAATATCAGAGACACTGAAGAAGCGAACAGAAGGGTTCGTTCTAGAGATCTCTTCCTCCCCTGACGCTGCGAGGCATTCCAGGAGTAGAGAAAAGAAGAAGAGGAAGAACTGCCTAGCTTTGCCCGGGATAGTGAAAGTAAATTATTCTTTCATCCTTTACTTCATCTTTGTCTCCACCGATGCCGTATATGTAGCAGAAATTCTATGGAGTAGCCAACACAATAAGAACATTCCGATCATCAGAAGAACTCCTTCTCTGAATATTTCCTTTCACCTTCCTTACAGGAGGACAGTGCAAAATAAATCGTAATTCTCCTATCCCCTACTTCATCTTTGTCTCCACCACCGCTGCTGTATGTTCAGTCATACCTAAGAGCAACATATACACATATACATAGAGAAAGAGAAAGAGAGAGAGAGAGAGAGAGAGAGAGAGAGAGAGAGAGAGAGAGAGAGAGAGAGAGAGAGAGAGAGAGAGAGAGAGAGAGAGAGAGAGCGAGCAGGACAGGGCTGGGGGGGGGGGGGGGGGGGGGGGGGAGATAAGCTGCCATGTATAGAAAAAAAAAACATTTCACCATTGCCATTACAAGCATAACTCCAACTTTGCTTATGTTTTCTTCAGCAGTGGAGGAATGCAGTCTGAAATGTGTGTTCAAAATCATGGTGTGCTTTCTATGTATATTCGGCGTCTATGGCTTAGGCGTTGCAAACGCGCTTCGTGATCCCAGCTGCGGACGGTTTGTCTTGCATTAGTTTTGACAGTGGTACCAGGAGCTGACCGTTCAGTAAGCAATGGCAAACTAATGAAAATAAATTTTGCCTAGAAAACCCACAACAGCCAAAAAATGCTGGGGTTGGTTCCGTAACGTCCTGTAAAGAATACGCAACTAACTGTTCCTATGTATGGAAAGTTAGGGGACTCTTTCTCTGTGTGTGTTTGTACGTGCGCACGCATGCGTGCGTTTGTGAAAGAGAGAGAGAGCGAGTGAGCGAGCGAGAGAGAGAGAGAGAGAAAGAGAAAGAGAGAGAGAGAGAGAGAGAGAGAGAGAGAGAGAGAGAGAGAGAGAGAGAGAGAGAGAGAGAGAGAGAGAGAGAGAGAGAGAGAGAGAGAGAGAGAGAGAGAGAAGATTATAATGTAACACTTTCGTATTTATAGATTGTCGTTACATACCTGGATATTTCCTGCATCATCTAAATCCCTTAACAGCTCAAAAGCCTGAGCGAACAGCTGTCGCCCACATGCCACAGTGGACAGCTATGGTCAGAAGCGACATACGAATCCTCGACAGCCATTCTTGGCAAGTGTTCCGATTGGTGCGGAAGAATGTTTTCACAACCTGTAGTGATTTGGTTTGTATGATTAAAAATAATGGATGGTGAAATATACAGTAAACAAATAATGGTAAAAATACAGAACATAAATAATGGGTAATCAAATAAAGAAAATAAACTCTGGTAACATATATGAAAACTAAATTTGGATGATGACATACATAGAAAGTAAACTTAAATGATGGCACAAATCAAAAGTAAACTTGGACGATGACTACACAAAAAGTAAACTTTGATGATAACATACACAGAAAGTATACATGGATAATGGTAAATACAGGAAGAAAACTTGGATGGTGACATACACAGAAAATAAACCTGGATTCTGAAATACATAAAAAATAAACAATCATCATCATCATCCATGTGCCCTTCAGTGTGGCAGTCTCGGGGTCTAATCCTCAAGTCTACTCTATCCTGTGTAATCCTTTTAATACCATGGATGTAATCAAGTCTAGCACTTTTGGTCACTCTCATGTAATGAACAGGCAGACAGATTGGCTGGATCCGCACCATCTGGTGGTGAATTTATACATGATAGGGCAGATGTGGTCAAGGCGCTTTGAGAACAACCAATGGAATCAGTAGAGAAACAAGGATTATTATGGCCTGGAGAGAATGAGTCACTTGGGTGTAACCAGAGGGTCTGGGCGGCTCATTACACTAAGAGGAAAGGATAGATGGACATATAACCAGATTTTGACCAGTACCATCAGTATTCGAACTGTGCTGGCTGCTGAAGATGAGGAGGGAGCACACATGGGAATGCCCTGAGTGCCGTGATGTCAATTCTTGACTCAACTCAACTGGTCTTTCTTATCAATGTTCATATAAGGATTTCTCTTGGACAAATAAACAATAGGTGATTAAATAAAATCTGTGCCAATAATGGTCATGAAATCCCACACACTTAATTATTTAGAGAAAGAAATGCAGTGTCTGAAAGGCATGGAACAATATTTAGAGAAACAACTGCAGTGTCCGAAAGGCATGGAACAATATTTAGAGAAACAACTGCAGTGTCCGAAAGGCATGGAACAATATTTAGAGAAACAACTGCAGTGTCCGAAAGGCATGGAACAATATTTAGAGAAACAACTGCAGTGTCTGAAAAGCAAAGAACAATATTTAGAGAAACAACTGCAGTGTCTGAAAAGCAAAGAACAATATTTAGAGAAAGAACTGCAGTGTCTGAAAGGCATGGAACAATATTTAGAGAAAGAACTGCAGTGTCTGAAAAGCAAAGAACTATATTTAGAGAAAGAACTGCAGTGTCTGAAAAGCAAAGAACTATATTTAGAGAAACAACTGCAGTGTCTGAAAAGCAAAGAACTATATTTAGAGAAACAACTGCAGTGTCTGAAAAGCAAAGAACTATATTTAGAGAAACAACTGCAGTGTCTGAAAAGCAAAGAACAATATTTAGAGATACAACTGCAATGTCTGAAAAGCAAAGAACAATATTTAGAGACACAACTGCAGTGTCTGAAAGGCATGGAACAATATTTAGAGAAACAACTGGAATGTCTGAAAAGCATGGAAAAATATTTAGAGATAAAAACAGCAATTTCTGAAATGCATGGAACAAAAATGAGAAAAACAACTGTAGTGTCTGAAAAGCATAGATCAAAATTCAGATTTAAAAAAAAAAAATGCACAATCTGAAAAGTATCTAACAATATTTAAAGACAAAATGCAATGTTTGAAAATCATGGAACAATATTTAGAGACTTACTTTGTGAACTGCTGGCATGGCAACAGCACAACCTTCATAGGCATTGTAGAGCAGCTTGTCAAGGTGCTCCATGAAGTTCATCAACAAATGCACACGCTGTAGGCACACATATTCACCCACTTTCTCTCCTGTTGAAATATACACAACATCATACATGCTTTGTACATTTCAAAAAGTGAACTAAATTTTTTTTTTTTTTATTAGTCTTTGCAATGAATGCTGGCTACAGAGTGCCACTGTTGTCTTTGGGAACATTACGTGGTAAGACCTCGATCTCTTCCATGGTGCAACTCTCATACTACTGTCCAAAAACCATGATAATGAATTTTTTAAACCACCCACTGCTGTTCCAAGAAATTTTCCTATTTCAAGGTCCTCTATAAGCTCTGTCTTTTGAAATGCTCGTATATTTGGTTTTTCTCTTCATGATAGTAGTAAAGGAATGAGTATTGTCATCTTTTATCTTTACCTTGTTTTTATTCTCTTGACAGTATTTTCTACATCATCTTTCAAGAAGGATAGGCCTTCTATATTTGTATATTAATTTAAACATTTATTTTGGCTCATCACCAAGCTTGCACATATGTATTCACATATATAACATCAAGTGGTTCTTTACCTCATCCCACAACAACATGTTTCAATATGTGTGTCATGAAAACATGTCATCAAGAATCTTCTTGTATAGCCTGACAAAAGGCCATTTAGAATCTTCCTGTAAAGCCTGACAACAGGCCATCAAGAATCTTCCTGTATAGCATGAAAACAGTTCATCAAGAATCTTCCTGTAAAGCCTGACAACAGGCCATCAAGAATCTTCCTGTATAGCCTGACAACAGGCCATTTAGAATCTTCCTGTAAAGCCTGACAACAGGCCATCAAGAATCTCCCTGTATAGCATGAAAACAGTTCATCAAGAATCTTCCTGTAAAGCCTGACAAAAGGCCATCAAGAATCTTCCTGTAAAGCCCGAAAACAGGCCATCAAGAATCTTCCTGTAAAGCATGAAAACAGGCCATCAAGAATCTTCCTGTAAAGCCTGACAACAGGCCATCAAGAATCTTCCTGTATAGCCTGACAACAAGCCATCAAGAATCTTCCTGTATAGCATGACAACAGGCCATCAAGAATCTTCCTGTATGGCATGAATACATGCCATCAAGAATTTTACTGTATAGCATGAAAACAGGCCATCAAGAATCTTCCTGTATAATATGAAAACATGCCATCAAGAATCTTAATGTAAAGTATGGATACATGATATCCAGAATTTTACTGTATAGCATGAAAACAGGCCATCAAGAATCTTACTGTATAGCATGAAAACATGCCATCAAGAATTTTACTGTATAGCATGAAAACATGCCATCACGAATTTTACTGTATAGCCTGAAAACAAAAGGAGACCAGGGAACCTATGCAGATATCCAAGTATAATGAAAGTGACTCTTTTCAAAAGTAGCTCTTTACAAAAGTGACTCTTTTTAAAAAAAAAAGACTCTTTACAAAAGCGGCTCTTTACAAAAGTGACCATTTATAAAAGTGACTCTTGACAAAGGTGACTCTTTACAAAAATGACTCTTTACAAAAGTGACTCTTAACAAAGGTGACTCTTTACAAAAGTAGCTTTTTTATAAAAGTGACTCTTTACAAAAAAAAAAGACTCTTTACAAAAGTGACTCTTTACAAAAGTAAACCACACTAAAGAAAGTAAATGTGGTTTTCTAGCAAAAATCTGTTAAGAAAAATCAGATAAATACACTTAGGACCCACCTCTGACACAATCTCTGCGCTCTAGGGCATCATCCAAGCTGCTGAAGCTCTGAGACTCTGTGGCAAATGCCTTGATAACACCTTCAATGGCCATAAATGTCTCCGGAGCTTTCCCAAGTGGAGTACGGAGGCGGGAGACGATGGCAAACTGGGCACACTCCCAGGTTGCCCAAAACCACTGTAAGGACTCGTTGTTGCTAATCTGCATGGTGGACACAGATAAAAAATAAATGCTGGGGTCAAGTTTTAAAAAAAAAGAGAGAAAGAAAACAGAAAAGAAAAGAAACAGGCTTTCACAACAGTGAAAACTCAGGCACATGGAGCTTAACTCAAATATTCATTATCCTGTTGCAACATTATATATCACATAGGGCCCACAGTCTATTCCTTCCTCCATTGTGTTCTATCCTTTGCAATCAGTTCAGTATCAAGGATGGAATCCAGCCCAGCAGCTTTGGTCTCTCTTATCATCTATCGTCTAAGGGTTTCTTTTGTGCGAACTCGCCTCCTAAATCTCTTTATTTCCCATTTCAATGTCTGTTTGGTGATTCTCTGCTGGTTTCTTCTCAGGGTGTGTCCAGTATTGGGCCATTTTCTCTGTCTTATAATTGTTGAGACTAGTGGTTGCCCTGACATTTCTCTTATTTCTTCCCTCCTTCTGAATTCATCCCATTTTATTTCAGTGGCAAACTACTGCTAACTGCCCCCTAAATCCATGAACAACCAACAAATGCTGGGGTTGGTTTCTAATGTCCTGCAGAGGAAATGCACTATTTTTTTTCTCTCCACTACATAGTCCTGGGTGCCTCAGTGATGTATCGGCTGGATACTCAGCTGCGGATCTGAAGGCCGTGGGTTCAAATCTGCATGGTGCCAGATTTGTTCAAACATGACCTTCTGGACTTTGGGATTGTTTCAGAACATGGGTTTTCATGCACATCCGTTTTTCAGATCTGTATTAATTGAATGCAGACTGATGGTGCCCTGCCTCTCTGGCAGATGCTCCGACTTTGAGCGTTACCACTTCTAATTAATTACCACCGATGACATTCTTGTTGTGGGGGCAATGAGTCTATTATCCCCCCCCCCATTCCTAAAAAACAGAGCACTCGAATCAACAAGGGGAGATCAATAACAACAATAGTAAGAGCAGCTGGTGTTACAAGATTACTCACCAAAATCATTAGGGACAAAAGAGGAGAGGGACAGACAGCCTGAGGTTGAGCAAGAACAAGATGAAAAGATAACATCACAGAAGCTCTACAGCAGTACTATGTGTCCATGGTCAAGGCAGTCAGAAGAGCAAGTAGAAGCAGACATAAAAGAAGAAAAGATTAACATTTTTAAAAAAATTTAATTTATGCACATTGTATTTAATGGACAATGAAATTTAAATGATAACTTTTTTTAAAGCACTCACCGCTTCTGTCAGGTTAAAAGTCAGGTCCTGTTGGCTTTTCAGCTTGCCATTTCTCTGTCTGGTATGATACATTGCTTCCAGCCAATGGAAACTACCATTCTGGCTACAAAATTCCAAGAAAGAAAAGACACAGAGAATGAAATAACTGTACAATTATGGCTGAAAGTTGAAGTATCTCTAAGACATAAAATATAAATAATTTTAAAAAATAGTAAAAGACTACTTTTATGCTAGCAGCGCATCTGACATACGATACTAGACATATTTGTATATTACTAACTGAGCATAATACAACTGAACAACATACAGCCATAGTACTAAATGAGCACAACAAATACAGCTGAACAGCATACAGTGATATTACCAGCTTAATATAAATACAACTGAACAACATACAAGGATATGACTAAAAGAGTACAAATACAACTGAACAACATACAGGGATATTACTAACTGAGTGCAAATACACCTCAACAACATACAGGGATATTACTAGCCGAGCATAAATACAAACAAAACACACAGGGATATTACTAGCTGAGCATAAATACAAACAAAACACACAGGGATATTACTAGCCGAGCATAAATACAAACAAAACACACAGGGATATTACTAGCCGAGCATAAACACAAACAAAACACACAGGGATATTACTAGCCGAGCATAAATACAAACAAAACACACAGGGATATTACTAGCTGAGCATAAATACAAACAAAACACACAGGGATATTACTAGCTGAGCATAAATACAAACAAAACACACAGGGATATTACTAGCCGAGCATAAACACAAACAAAACACACAGGGATATTACTAGCCGAGCATAAATACATACAAAACACACAGGGATATTACTAGCAGAGCATAAATACAAACAAAACACACAGGGATATTACTAGCCGAGCATAAACACAAACAAAACACACAGGGATATTACTAGCAGAGCATAAATACAAACAAAACACACAGGGATATTACTAGCAGAGCATAAATACAAACAAAACACACAGGGATATTACTAGCTGAGCATAAATACAAACAAAACACACAGGGATATTACTAGCTGAGCATAAATACAAACAAAACACACAGGGATATTACTAGCCGAGCATAAATACAAACAAAACACACAGGGATATTACTAGCCGAGCATAAACACAAACAAAACACACAGGGATATTACTAGCCGAGCATAAATACAAACAAAACACACAGGGATATTACTAGCTGAGCATAAATACAAACAAAACACACAGGGATATTACTAGCTGAGCATAAATACAAACAAAACACACAGGGATATTACTAGCCGAGCATAAACACAAACAAAACACACAGGGATATTACTAGCCGAGCATAAATACAAACAAAACACACAGGGATATTACTAGCTGAGCATAAATACAAACAAAACACACAGGGATATTACTAGCAGAGCATAAATACAAACAAAACACACAGGGATATTACTAGCCGAGCATAAACACAAACAAAACACACAGGGATATTACTAGCAGAGCATAAATACAAACAAAACACACAGGGATATTACTAGCAGAGCATAAATACAAACAAAACACACAGGGATATTACTAGCAGAGCATAAATACAAACAATACACACAGGGATATTACTAGCAGAGCATAAATACAAACAAAACACACAGGGATATTACTAGCCGAGCATAAACACAAACAAAACACACAGGGATATTACTAGCAGAGCATAAATACAAACAAAACACACAGGGATATTACTAGCAGAGCATAAATACAAACAAAACACACAGGGATATTACTAGCAGAGCATAAACACACACAAAACACACAGGGGATATTACTAGCAGAGCATAAATACAAACAAAACACACAGGGATATTACTAGCAGAGCATAAATACAAACAAAACACACAGGGATATTACTAGCAGAGCATAAATACAAACAAAACACACAGGGATATTACTAGCAGAGCATAAATATAAACAAAACACACAGGGATATTACTAGCAGAGCATAAATACAAACAAAACACACAGGGATATTACTAGCAGAGCATAAATACAAACAAAACACACAGGGATATTACTAGCAGAGCATAAATACAAACAAAACACACAGGGATATTACTAGCAGAGCATAAATACAAACAAAACACACAGGGATATTACTAGCAGAGCATAAATATAAATGAACAATATTCAGGGATACTACTAGCACAGAATAAAAATAAATTAACACACATGGATACTACTAGCTGAGCATAAATACAAATGAACAACATATAGGGAAGCTGAGTCCAGATACAACTAAACAACATACAGGGATACTAAACTGAGCACAAATACAAGTGAACAACTTACAGGAATATTACTAGTAGAGCAAAAATATAATTGAACAACATACAGTATATTACTAGCTGACGTTAAACAGCCAACTTATTGTAACTGACTACTTCCATCAATGAAAAACTGAATTTCTGGTGGCGACTGGTGGCTTTGGCACCTCTAGTAACTACCATATGCATTTACTGTGTGCGATTGTTTCTAGACTGTGCCGGAACTAATTGTTTGTTCGTCGTTTTTCAAATCAGACAGTGTGGGATATTTCAACTGATTTTCACTGAAACGGGAATAAAGCAAGTATGGCGTGACCGGACTGCAGTGAAGTTAAAACCGCGACTACGACTAAACAAACTGAACAAACAGTGGTATTATTGATAGGGCATAAATACAACCGAACAACATGCAGCGATATTACAAACAGAACATAAATACAACTGAAAAAATATAGCTTTATTGCTGACAAGGTCAAACTATAACAAGCTTACCTTGGGGGTGTCCCACTGAGTATAAAAGCCATGACATGCCGAAAGTTGTGTGAATGGAAGTTCCCTGAAGCAGGACTGGCCATGTGTGACCTCCGGACTTGCCATGCAGCTGCCAGCCCAACCTCTCTGTTTCTTTTCTCACTTGACATCCATTCTTCTTCTCCTTCAAACAGGTCCATACTGAAAGGATTTGCACAACGCAATGAACTTTTTTTTTAGTTAACAGTGGTAGAAGGATTTGTCGGCATCCGGCTTAGGTGATGAGAACGCGGTTTGTAATTCTGAGATACCCAGTTTGATTCCAGCTGTAGGCCATGTGGCAGTAAACTACTTTTATTTTGATTTTAACAATGGTATTGAGAAGTGACCATTAAGAAAGCAATTGGAACTAATGAATGTAACATTTCATTGTACAAATTTTAACAATGGTATTGAGAAGTGACCATTAAGAAAGCAATAGTAACTAATGAATGTAAAATTTCATTGTAAAAATTACAAACAGGGCTGGTTCTTCTGTCTCATAAAGCAGACATGTCAACCAGGCATTGTGGTGCGTGTGGCCCTTGTGACAACACAAATATAATCTGTGTGGCCCTTGAAGCGCCCTCAGTTTGACATGCCTGCCGTAAAGGACACACAGCTAGCTTTTTCTAGGTTTCACAGCAGACGCAAAAGGGAGAAGTATTAGGCTTTCAAAGAGGTTAAGTATTCAACGAAAGAAGTCACTGGAGAGCTTAGATGTTTGTTTTTTAAAAGCAAGTTCTGCCTAAATAGGAAAAAACCTGAGAAGCAGAACTAGTCAGCTTACAAAAAACAGAATCCTCTTCTTCTTTTGTTGTCTCACTGATACCAGGTTGAAGCCCAGTGTCGTGGTCTTCTGTATTTGTCTTGCGCTTGTCGGGTCGCTTGGGTGGTGGATTTTTTTTTGTTTTTAGTTTTTTTTAAGGTTTCAGCTACACCATTTATTCATCTCTTTCTTGGTCTGTCCTTTGCCTTCCTCCCAGATTTTCTAATGCAAAAAGTTTCATGCCTGGCTGCATTCACACTAGATGGCCGAACAATTTCATTTTTCGTCTGTCAATATAATCCAGACATGATCTTATTTCAACACGCTCTCTAATGCTGGTATTTCTAACCCTGTCACTTCTTGTGTTGTTAGTGTCTTTGTGGAGACAGTGCATTTCACATGTAGTTATTTTCTGTTCTAGTGCACTATTCATTGTCCATGTTGGGCACTGATAAAATCAAGTAGGGATAAAGATACTATTAATCATTTGCTGTTTTGCTGTAAGGGAGACAACCGGTTGTCTAAGCAGTGGGGCTAACTGGCAGGTGACAGCATTTGCCTTCTGTACTCTGTCTTCTATCTCTCAATCAAGTCTGCCATCTTCTTTAAATGTGCTTCCTAAATTTTGAATTCTCGTAATTGTTTGATTGTAGTACAGTTAACATGAATGTTCATGATATTATGTTTCCTGCCTATCCTCCTCCTCTTCTTTTCTTTAATAGTTATAAAAAAAGAACATAATCATGAAAGAAAAAATGAATATTGCAGCTAAAGAAGCCTTTATTAGATACAATAACCTGAACAATAATACAACTACATTAAAAAAACTGTAATGCAGAAAACGGTATGCAATAGTTGGTACTAACAAGAAAGAGTAAATTAAATCAAACATTATTAGTCGGCTGCCATCAAAAACTTAAGGCTACATGAAACTGGAGATGAATGTGACACCAGTGGCCACCTGTCAACATCAAGGAAGAAGAGACATGACAGAACAACTATGTATAAGATAGGCTGATTCTTCTTCTTCTTAGTATTCACCGGGTGTAAATTCTGTCCAAACATTCTGGTGGTTCATCCACTTCTGGGACTCTGATCTTGTTTCAAAACTTGAGTTTTGTGTGCATATTCGTTTTACAGATCTGACTTATTTGTAAAAGGACTGTTGGTTTCTCAACATTCAGGCAGATGTATTCTGAAGTTTAAAAAAAACCCCACTAATCAGTAGCCTTGTATGACATGCTTGTCAGGGAAGCAGATGGTCCAATCTTTATTCCCCCAGAATAGGGCTCCAGAACTCTCATGTGGAGTCTGGATTCTATTCTCCATCCTAGAGGAAGGGCCGTTATATATAAATACTTCACTAGTTTTAGCTCCGACTGTGTGAGGTATTTCATTAAATATAACTGCTTCATTCAACCACAAAAATCAACTATTCAAAATCATAAACAATCTTTCTAAACAGGACATTCACACGGAAACTTACTGCAGAATCTTGTCAACTGGTAAAATCTTCAGCAGTGACAGGAAACACTCCCTCACTGGCTTTCTGACATCACTTAGTCTGTACACACACAGCTCCATACACCTAGCCAAATTGTAATGGAGAAAGAGATCAATTTTTTGGTTTTGTTTTTGATTTCCATATTGATTTTTTAAATACTGAAACCTAAACAGGTAATGAGAGTTGAGAGTACACAACCAACATCACAGCACTCAAAGCCTTGCCTGTATTGAGGGCTTCAGCAGAGAGCGCAGAGCTCTAATACTACCTGTTGTTTGTTTGTTTGTTGTTTGTTTTCGTTGGCTGTAGACTTCACTAGAAAGTCCTGTTTGTCCATTTCTGGATGGTTGCATTATTCCAGGACCTGAGTTTTGAGTGTGCATCTGTCTTACAGATATGGCTCATCTGCAAGCAGACTGGTGGCTCCTCAAATGCCAGACAGTTGTACCCCGACTTTGAAGGTAACACCCCTAATTAGTCCCTTTTTATAACATGCCTGTTGGAAGGAAAGGGAAAAGGGGGGGGGGGGGACCGTTGGGATCTACAGAACAAAGAAGAATGCTAAAGATTCTTAAACAGCCAAACTTAGTAATCTGAATATACTGAAAGAGGTTAAATATTTGCAGACAAGTTTATCACAAACATCATGAAAAAGGCAACTACAATTCTTGATAAGGTAAACAAGTGTAACATGTGACAATTGGAAATATGTAGAGAAAGACGAGAGAAGATTCCGGATAGCTGCCTGTCAAGACAAAGAAAGGTGAAATGCTGGAGACTGCAAGAAGCATGAATGCCCAAGCCAGTCAACAAAGTATTTGATGACAACGGTAATAACAATAGGCAGACAGCAAATATGAATCCTCACTTTTTCACAATGACTTCGGGGAAGCTGGTCTTCTTGAAAATTGACTTCAGACACTGAGCCGTACATTGGAAGATCTGCTGCTCCCTGTGGTATCCTGTAGGAAGAGCCACCATGAGACAATCAATGTAATTACACATACAGCATGGTAACAAATGACGTAAGTTCAGTAAGACAATCAATGTAATTACACATACAGCATGGTAACTAATGACGTAAGTTCAGTAAGACAATCAATGTAATTACACATACAGCATGGTAACTAATGATCTATCTTCTCCAATTTCGCTCATAAAATGTTCCCATTTAGCCTTTTTTTTTTTTTTTGCATCTGCTGCACAACGCTTGAACTCTTGTACTATTCTTTTCTAACTTTTTCTAACTTCTCTACATCCTCTTGTAATCTGCCAGTGTGTTGGGAAATAAGCAGGCGGATAGATTGGCCAGTTCTGCACAACACGGTGGTGAACTGATGTATGACAAGCTGGATGTTGTGAGGGCCCTTTGGGAGTGAGTGAACAGTGCCGAGGAACAGATAGTTCATAAGGGTAGGAGGAGAATGGCACTGCGAGGAGTTACAAGAGGATCTGGCTGACGCTCGTCACTCAGGGGAAAGGCAGGAATGATATACAATCAGACAGTTACTGGTACCTTTGGAATTTAAACTCTTCCCTTGCTGCTGAAGACGAGAACGGAGCGCTTATGGGGGGCGCCTGAGTGCTGTGGTGTTGATTCTTAATTCAACATTCAACAACTGATCTTTACAAGCTGTATTCCCCCGTGTGGGTCCTGGGGCCCCATTGTGGGAAAAACAAGAATAGACCCACTGTCTCCCCAAAAGCATGTCGTAAGAGTCGACTAATTGGGGAGTTTCCTTTGAAGTCGGAGTGCATCTGCCGGAGAGGCAAGGAATCAAGTCTGTATTCAAGAGAATGAGATCTGTAAAACTGATGCACACGCAACACTCAGGTTCTGGAGCAGGACTGCAGTTCAGTATTGGACGAGCAACCAAAACTTTCCGCCAGAGTGTACAGCTGGTGAACGCGAAGAAGAAGAAGAAGAAGACAAGCTGTATTGATTACATATTGCTAAGCAGAGTAGACATCATTGGACTGCCCCGCTAAACAAACAAAACCACATCTATATGTTCATTTAAAAATAATAAACCTGGATTTTCAGTACCTAAGTGGCACGGTGATCACGTTATGTATGTCAGTAAATACTTGCTATATTTCTCCCATTCTTCACATGTATGGTTTAGAGTAGACCTCAACAACAGTGATGATTCTCCAATCTTACCCCCCCCCCCCCACCCCTTTTCCCCCAATACTTTTCCACTCCTGGTACCTGGTTTGAGTCAGACAGATAGTCATGGCCTTCCAATCCTCTTTGTCAGGTTCAATATTTGTCAAATGACTTTGCCTTCCAATCCTCTTTGTCAGGTACAATATGTTTCAAAGACTGTCAGCGCCAAGTGTAGAACAGACACTGATAATTATCACAGGCCAGATTCACTTGTACAAGCCATCTTTACAGACAGCTACATAATAAAAATTTTCCTCTCCCAAATTTTGACTTAGATGATCGCCAGATGGAGTACCAGTCAGGAAATTTTACCAAAATGTCTTCACGCTGAATCAACAAGGGACAGAAAGACAGGTTGGAAGTCACTGCAAGGCAAGCTCTCCTGTCCTGGCAGTAAAAGAAGTCCAGGTGTTTTTCTGGACTTTCCTTTAGGCGAACTCTTCTGGGTCTCAGCGATTGTCTACTGGTATTTAAATTTTTTTTTTTTTTTTTATAGTAACAGTGACTGTCCAATCCACTTTGTTAGCTACAGTACTTGTCTACTACTTCCGGTGCATAGTGTGGAGCTGAGGTTAGTAATAATGATTTTCTAATCCTTTTTGTCAATTTTGCACAGAGCTAGCTACAATACTGCCACTCAGTGATATTTACCCTGTAGGATGACAGTGCTGACTAAACTGCTGAGAGCAGATGACGTGTAAATGTGAGGTGTGGCTGCCAGTGAAGCAATGATGTCAGATGTCCATTTCATGAGAAGGCATCTGCAGGAAATAATCAAACACAATATTTTATTTCCAGTGCTCACTCCAAGTGATTAACTACTCAGACAGTCCAAGGTATTAGTTGTAAGTAAAATAAGTGAAGAAAGTAAAGGACCCTTTTCATCACCTTAAGGCATATTGGGCATATAGGGCTAGATCTATACTTTATAGACCAATCAGCACTTGTGGGTGATGATGTCAATATCATGCCGGTCGCCTATACTTCCCAGGACTAGACCTGGTACCCACATTGCTTTCTGGACAGTTGGCTTCTCGATACGACTCGAAACCAAAGCAAGGTGCAAGACCAGCAGCTGGGATTGAACCCGCCACCCCAGCATTATGAAGTAAGTTCACAACGCCTTAGCCACTGATGCCGACTTTCTATATATACATACATACATTTAAAATGTCCCAGTATAAGACGACCACTATTTTTTGAGCCCAAAAAAAGAAAATAAATGTTTTAAACATATTACATATACAGGAAAACCTCAGTTTAAACTTAAACAACACTGGGAAAATATGTCTACCAGCAAGAAAACAAATCAGCATATTAAATTCCTAAACATTTCAAAATTTATATTATTTGATTTATGCTTGCTACTAACAGACCTAGCTACGTCTGCAGCAGGACCACATAACAGGTTAACTGTTATTTAACCATCTTCTTTTGCATTCGCCTTTAAAAGGGTGGTTGTCCCACTGCGGTATACAGACAGGCTGTGATATGTGCACCTTTTAGCCTAACACCCCCCCCCCCTTTTCCATGGATCTCTGAAACCCAGGGCTGTTAGTGAACAAAAAACATTAAAGTGTAAACCACACCTGCTATCAAAAGAAGTGCTGTCACTGTCCAACAGTGTGACGATAATTCGCAGGATCTCTGAGAAATTTTGGTTGTTTGCCTGACTCATTGTTGCAAGTCGTGAGGCGTCAATCTGGGGTGCTACCAGCAATACACTGCTGGACATGAAGTTGGCATGCCTGTGGGAGACATAAAGTATTACAGTCAGTACTGAGACACAAAGTAGTAGTCAGGACTGAGACATAAAGTAGTGCAGTCAGTACTGAGACATAAAGTAGTGCAATCAGTACTGAGACATAAAGTAGTACAGTCAGTACTGAGACATAAAATAGTACAGTCAGTACTGAGACACAAAGTAGTACAGTCAGTACTGAGACACAAAATAGTACAGTCAGTACTGAGACACAAAATAGTACAGTCAGTACTGAGACACAAAATAGTACAGTCAGTACTGAGACATAAAGTAGTACAGTCAGTACTGAGACACAAAATAGTACAGTCAGTACTGAGACACAAAATAGTACAGTCAGTACTGAGACACAAAATAGTACAGTCAGTACTGAGACACAAAATAGTACAGTCAGTACTGAGACATAAAGTAGTACAGTCAGTACTGAGACACAAAATAGTACAGTCAGTACTGAGACATAAAGTAGTACAGTCAGTACTGAGACTTATAATGTAGTACAGTCAGTACTGAGACTTATAATGTAGTACAGTCAGTACTGAGACTTATAATGTAGTACAGTCAGTACTGAGACTTATAATGTAGTACAGTTAGCATTTCTGTTAAAAATTGCCTTTACTGTCTCCACTAAATTTATTTTGCTCTTAGCAGAAAAATCTCCACACATAACTGAGGATTGAACCCTCCTCCCACATGAAAGCCCAACATTCTAACCATCTGGCCAGCCATTCAAAAAAGTTAGCATGCATAGTTAACAAGTAAACAGTTAAAAAACCCTTTTCACACCAGAGAGTATGTTTTTTGTTTTGTTTTATGGTATGCTATGGTACACTGTACCAGCACCTTTTTTTTTTTGGCACAACATTTTTTTCAGCACTACTGTAACAGACACTTTGTAGGCAATACTGGCACCTTTTTGTATACATTCTGTGGTGGGTACTGGCACCTTTATTTTTTCTAACAATTAAAAAAAAAGCTCTGCCAAGAGACACATGAGGCAAAAGATGCTAGACATATTTTTATACAGCAACCAATCCTTGATGGGTGATTGGTCAGCATCAAGCTGGCCACCTTTACTTTCCAGGATATTACCCAACAGCCCTTTTTAGGCATGATCAAAGTGGGATCCAAAGCCAGTTTGGCAAACATCTGCCTCAATGTGAATTTGAACCCATCACTTTCAGGCCAGCTAGGGAGCAGCTAGGTCCCAGTATACAAAGTTACACATCATTAAAACAAACTGTGTGCTACACATCTGACACAGGACTTGAACTGAATCAACGCTAGACATTCAAATATAGTTTTAGATATTTATTTGCAATTCTAATATTTCAGTCTTAACAAATGCCAGTGAAAGCTGGAGAACCCCCAAAGATATGGAACAAAAGTTAAACGCATTCGATAAGAAATGCCTTAGGAAAATGATGAACATAAAAAGGGAGGAATTCAAGAAGAGTAAAAAAATAAGAGTGTGCAACAACTAGTATCGACAGTTATAAGACAGAGAAGATGGTACCATACTGGACACATTCTGAGAAGAGACAATAAACTGCAAAATTTACTGCCAGGCATATTTGTACTCACTACAGAGTTAAGTCAACACATTATGAAACACAAAACATTAATTCTTTCAAACAAAATACACAAATCACATTGTCTGTTATTACACTGTACATTCCCAGCACAGGTAAACCCAATGCTTACCCCAAAAGTCTGACATTTTACCATGCGATCTTTCTGGTTACACAAATGTGAAACTGTCAGTCTTGTGTGGTAAATAAATAACCCAGAAGACACAGTCCCTATCAATTAGATGCCCTGAGTCTTACAGATGATGCCTTATGAAAGAATCAGACTCTATCCTCTTCAAATTGCTTGGAAATGCTTCACAGGGTGGCCCATAAGTTTCCATACACAGAAAAACACATTTCAGTGTGTGTCCTCCCTTGCTGAAGAACATTTATAGGCACAGTTGGCATTATGCTCATAATGGTGTTGGAAACATGTTTTTTCCCTATGTATAGAAACTCATGGGACACCCTGTACATTTAATAATAAACTATTTGACCAGTCATAAACCGCTGTGATTGAGCGGTTAGACACGCGCCACGGATCAGAAGGTCGTGGGTTCGCTCCCTGGTGGAGCCGGACGTTTCTTCAAAAATGACCTTGGCTCCCAGGTCGACCCAGCCTTGAGTGGATACCGGGTACATTCCGGGGAAGTAGAGATGGCCGGCGTGATGCTGACCACATCACCCATCTTGTGCCGTTGGTCTATAAAAATATAGGTCTAGCCCTATATGCCTAAAGGCGTGGAAAAGGGCTCTTTATTTTTTTTACATAAACAGTGATAATAAGGATATGACAACCAAACAAATTCCAGTATTACCTGTTGCAGTGTGAGTAGAAGGCATGCAGGACAGAGTAAACCACCGGGGATTGGTGCTTGTTCATCCATGGGTCCGTCACCTGGAGGTTCTGCGACAACAGGGTGAATATACTAGGGGAGAGTGCCCACATCTGCAACAGATTTCAAAACATATTTGGCATTATATTTCATAACTGGAAAATAAATCTGCCATACAAAAAGGAGTTTCAAATAATCATATACTCATTTGGCCACAAGAGCAATGAGTCAGGTCTGTGTTTGGCCCACAATAACAAAATAACAGAGACAGCGTGGCACTCTTCTTCTAGATGGCACTGTTTCCTCTAAATAATGAACACTTGAAATAGTTCTGTTTTTTTTTTAACTCTAGAAACTATTTTAAAAATGAACACCCCCCCCCAGTGGAGTTCTAGGTCTTCCTGGAGGATGGGGGGGGGGGGGCAGACCAACTCTTCCCTGATGAACTTGCTGTGATTGATTTGATCGGTGAGACAACAAAACCATGACGCTGGGCTACAACCTGGTATCAGTGAGACAACAAAACCACAACACTAAGCTGCAACCTGGTATCAGTGAGACAACAAAACCACAATACTGAGCCATGACCTGGTATCAGTGAGACAACAAAACCACAACACTAAGCTGCAACCTGGTATCAGTGAGACAACAAAACCACAATACTGAGCCATGACCTGGTATCAGTGAGACAACAAAACCACAACACTAAGCTGCAACCTGGTATTGGTGAGGTGACAAAACCATGACATTGGGCTACAACCTGGTATCAGTGAGACAACAAAACCACAATACTGGGCCATGACCTGGTATCAGTGAGACAACAAAACCACAATACTGGGCCATGACCTGGTATCAGTGAGACAACAAAACCACAATACTGAGCCATGACCTGGTATCAGTGAGACAACAAAACCACAATACTGGGCCATGACCTGGTATCAGTGAGACAACAAAACCACAATACTGAGCCATGACCTGGTATCAGTGAGACAACAAAACCACAATACTGAGCCATGACCTGGTATCAGTGAGACGACAAAACCACAATACTGAGCCATGACCTGGTATCAGTGAGACAACAAAACCACAATACTGAGCCATGACCTGGTATCAGTGAGACAACAAAACCACAATACTGGGCCATGACCTGGTATCAGTGAGACAACAAAACCACAATACTGGGCCATGACCTGGTATCAGTGAGACAACAAAACCACAATACTGAGCCATGACCTGGTATCAGTGAGACAACAAAACCACAATACTGGGCCATGACCTGGTATCAGTGAGACAACAAAACCACAATACTGAGGCCATGACCTGGTATCAGTGAGACAACAAAACCACAATACTGGGCCATGACCTGGTATCAGTGAGACAACAAAACCACAATACTGGGCCATGACCTGGTATCAGTGAGACAACAAAACCACAATACTGAGCCATGACCTGGTATCAGTGAGACAACAAAACCACAATACTGGGCCATGACCTGGTATCAGTGAGACAACAAAACCACAATACTGAGCCATGACCTGGTATCAGTGAGACGACAAAACCACAACACTAAGCTGAAACCTGGTATTGGTGAGGTGACAAAACCATGACATTGGGCTACAACCTGGTATCGGTGAGATGACAACAAAAAGAAGACTGCTCACCCCTATCAGATTACTCTTAGTGTTGGCGATTTCAATGAGAGCTCCAACGTTGAACATGATGGCTTGTTGAGCTTGCCTGCTGCTGTAATGGATGGTCTTGAAGGGGTTGTCGCCGGCCACCAACTGTAGCTGACTCTGATTGCTGCCTACCAGCAAGATATTGTAACAAACTTCCATGTCGCTGAGCACCAACCTGAAAAAACAAATCATTTCCCCATCTTAAAAGTCATTTTCTTCTTGGATTATTGAATAATGAAACACATCCTTTCATCAGCAGATAAGATGGTTTAGACAGAACTGTATCTTGTGTGGAATTATTACATATGAACTGGGGGGAAAGGGGTGTGATTGTTATTTTAAAAAATAAGACACAAAAAAGTCTACATTGTTTGGAGATGCTATGAAAAGGAATTAGATGATGACTGTAAATTGTGCAATATATTGTTTAAGTCTGCATTACTTGGGAGTCACGCCTGCGGATCGGAAGGTCGTGGGTTTGCTCCCTGGCAGAGCTGGACTTTAAAGAAAAAAGTGACCTTAACTCCCAGGTTGACCCAGCCTTGAGTGGGTACCGGGTGCAGTCCCGGGAAGTAAAGGCGGCCGGCTTGATGCTGACCACATCAGCCACCTTGTGCCGATTGGTGTAAAAAAATATAGGTCTAGCCCTATACGCCTAAAAGCGTGGAAAAAGGACCTTCACTTTTCCGCACTACTTAAATTTGCTGCACGAAAACATTGTACTAAATTGATATTCAACAACTGTTCCGTTGTGCCATTATGTCACATAAGGCGTGCAGTCAGTTTCTCCATTCCATTTATTCTGCGCAACCATAAAAATAGTCTAAATTGTTTTGAAATGTTATGAAAAGGAATTAGGTGACGACTGATAAGACTGATGGAAACAAAAGAGCAAGCGAAAGACAATAAATAACAAGATGGCTTGGCCACATGGATGGGCTAGCACTGACCTCACTGATGATTCTGCTGCTGATGTGGGATGGCAAAACATGACTCTCAAGTGGAGTACATTAAGATGATGATGATAGTTTACAAGAACCTGAGCACACGAGGCCGTAACTAGCTACTGTTTTAGCAGTCTCACCTGTAGGCTTCCTCCAGCAAAGGGACACTCTTTAGGGCGAGCAGAGAATGGTATAGGGCCATCAGCTCTGTAACGACCTATAATGACAGTGTTTCAAATAGTTATTAACATATTCTGTCATGAACTCTTACTGTATAAGTAAAATAAATCACTTAGGGCTTTTAAACCTAAATGTTACACAATAAATCTGACAGTACATGGCACCCAAGCCTACAGAAAAGGCTCGACATCTTTCACCAGTTTCCATGCGGCATTAATTTTCATACCCATGGTTCTTTAATGTTGTGTGTTCTCCTTTGTCTTGATTGGTACCTCGAAAAAAAAAATGGGTTCTCTAGAAGTGAATATTTTTTGTTAACACCACTATGTTCTATCTCATGACTGAGTAAAGGAAAGATGCCAAGTGCACCTCCGCATGACAAAGAACTTGGAAACCCACAGTGAAACCCATAATGTGATAGCTTTGTGGATAAAGTACCTGCTCGGATTGTGTTATTTAATAACTGACATGCCAATACTTACAACACTTCCAAGTTTAAAGTTTCACTAAAAAACGCATAAAGAACAATTACAGCATACTTTGTCTATGACAGAACAATTACAGACTTAACTTCTTGTCTATGACTTCTTGTCTATGACAGATTAACTTCTTTGTCTATGAAAGATTAACCTCTTGTCTATGAAAGATTATCCTCTTATCTATGAAAGATTAACCTCTTATCTATGAAAGATTAACCTCTTATCGATGAAAGATTAACTTCTCATCCGTGAAAGATTAACTGCAGACTCACCTGTGGGCAATGTGAGAAGCGATACAAGGGAAGCAAAGATTCTGGTCCCAGCAGTTGCTGCAGCACATAGACTGGCAGTTGGGTACTGAACACTTCCACAATCTTTGGGAATAAAAGACACAGAAAATATAAACACAAAATAAAGACTGTAACAGATGGGCAACACACATGTTAAACTGGATGAGCTTTAAATACACTGTGGAGAAAGTGGAATGCAATTCTCAGTGTTGAACATTTTGGCAACACAGTTTAGAAGAATGCATCAGAAACTTTTTCTCAGCATTTGTCGGCTGTAAACTCCAGCAGGAAAGTTCTAGTTGATCGCCAACTTCTTGAGTTGGATCTTGTTCCTGAACTGGAGTTTTGTGTGCACATCCATTATACAGATCTGGCTCATTTGTGTGCAGACTGTTAGTTCCTCACCATTAGGCAAATGCACTCCGACTTTGAAAAAAAGACCCTTAATTAGTCATCTTTTATTACACGCTTGTTGGGGAAGCAGTGGGTCAATTGCCACCCCACTTCCCCCAATAGGGCCCCAATAGCGGAAACAGCTGGCAGTACACGTGACAGATGCCTGGGGATAAACGTTACCAATACAGCCTGATGTGGGCTATAAAAGAACAACTACAAATCAGATCATCATGTAGCAAGTCATTCAGGGGAAGTTACTCTTATCAGTGCTTGCCATAAGAACCTGATTTTTTTTTCACCAGTTCATCTGCCTTACACATTTGCATGCCAGGTATCTTCAGGTAATCAGGTAATTGCACTTCCAACTTCACAGCACAGTCACAGTCACCCCATGGCTGCTCAGGTAAAAAAAACAAAAAAAACATGTGTCACAGAAGGCACTGTTAGCAAATCTAACAGCATAATTCAGCAGCCAGAAGTGCCAATACAAACAGTACAACACTAGAAATGTAGTTCATCCTCAGTGGAAGCAGCAGTTACAATAAAACAGTAGTTGCAGACATAATTAATCACTTAAGGCCCCACCAGTTCTCTGGCAACAGGCCATTGTTTGAATCTGCAGTTCACAACACAAACCATGTTTTGCGGTCAAAAAGCATTCCAAATGAAATCCGCAGCTCAGTGTCATGCCATGCACTCAACTCTGTAGCTGGGCAATGGAACTATACCCTTTCAGTCTATGTATGGAGAAAAATGCAACAGCTAAGTACTGTCTGAAGCAAAAACTAGCTATGATTTAAAACTGTAAACTTGCCTATCTGCCACACTGACCGGAAGCCCAAGGGGCATGATATAAGAAACATTCACATTACCTTTGAAATAAATCTCAATTTTTAGACTTGAGGGTGGGGGGGGGGGGGGGGGGGGGGGGGGGGGGTACTTTGCTGACATTTCACAACCACATAAAAAGCACAAGAAAAAACTTTCTGCATATTTTTCTAGTTTTAGCTAAAAAAAAAAAAACACACCTTGTGTAGCAGACGCAACGTAGACACAGCTACAGAGTTTGAGGATGTTCTCGGCCCGCTGGTCTGATAAATAATGTAGGGTAAAATCAGTTCTCCGCAGCTGATGGCCATCTCTGCAGACAGCTGATGAAGGATAAGTCTGATGCTATCGTTGCCTTGGGAGACAAGAAAAAAAAAAGCAAATAAATGACACATTTATGGCATTATTACTTACAAGGAGTCAAACAAATGTAGATGTCTGGGATTAAGCACTATACACACAATTTATAAAGTATAAAATAAACTCTTACAATCACATGTACACAATAATGCAAGCTGTGCTTTAGGCAACCTCAGCGGGAGCAGTTTTGGCAGTGCGGCTAGACGCTTGCAGGTCCGAATGTACTAGTTTCAGATTTGCATTGTCTCATTTTTTCCTTTCAAAAAATGACTGGCACAGGTTGACACAGCCTAAAATGAGTATCAGGTAAAGTCCTAGAAAGTAAAGGCAGCCACCATGATGGTGATCACATCACACACTGACTGCCGACTCTTTAGTGTCTAGCACCACATACCCGATAACGTTACGGGGCTGAAAATGGTCCTTTATTTTTTTTTAAATATTCCTTAGATTTTGCTGGGAGTCGCCGTGGTGTAGCGGCCTGCAGATCCTAAGGTCTTGGGTTCAAATCCGAACAGGGCTAGAAACTTTTTCCAAACTGACCTTGACTCCCAGGTTGACCCAGCCTTAAATAGGTACCAAATAAAGTCCTGGAAAGTAAAGGTGGCCGGCGTAATGCTGACCACATCACACACTAAGTGCAGATTGATCTATAAAATATAGGTCTAGCCCTATATGCCTAATAAGCCTGAAGGCACGGACTAGGTTCCTTTACTATAATGTTGAATTTAACAAATGATGTACCATCTCCACAATGGAGGTTGGTCGCAGTGGATGCGTCCACTGTCTTAGGGTACATTACATGGGCAGGCTCAATCTCTCCCACAGTGTGACTCTCATACCACTGTTGAAAGCTACGAGAACAATCCTGATCATGAAATACCTAACACCCATGGAAGAAATATTACCCTTACATAAGAGACAAATTGCAAATGAAAAGAGCATTGTCGAAAGAAATTTTAAAAAAGAGACGATTGAAATACTTTGACCACAATTAGACTTGGCACTTTTTGAAAACCATACTTGAGTGAAAGGTCGAAGGCAAGACAGCAAGAGGAGGACAAGATCACCAGACGGATGAAGAGCGGTCTGAGAGGGAGAGAGAACTAAGAAGACAAGAGACACAGTGTGTTGGAAATCCACTGCAACCAACCTTCATTGTGTAGGTGGCACCTGACTAATTGAGAAGTCAAATGCAACAAGGGAAAATGCCTACCAACTTAAAATGGTGACATTTGCTATTGTTATTTCTGTCATGAGTAATCAACCACATCAACTGAGCCTCTTTTTTTTTTTAAAGACTCAGGAAATATATTTGATGATTCACTCGGTTCATGTTTAATAATTATTACCTTCATATATATATATATATCACATGGTCAACGTGTTCCCTGAATGACAAGCTGCGATCGAACCTCACCCCGAGAAATGTCATAACGTTGGTTCTGATCAATACATTATCACGCATTTTCACTTCTGGTAAGTCCGACTTGACAATGTGATTGTTCAAAGAGAACCATAACACTAATGCCTTCGAAGGATTGACATAGGCATTGGAGCCATCACACCAGGCGGCAATTCGATCGAGTTCTTTGTGCATTGTGCTGGCGATCTCCTGTCTATCACGCCCTCGTCGATAAATCAAAATGTCATCAGCAAATGACAAAGTCCTTCCCTTTCCATTCAACTGCTGCTCAGTGATCATCACCGTATAAACATTGAATAAGACTGGTGATAGCGGTGATCCCTGTGGCAAGCATGGACATATCGTTTGCGGTTCTGAGGACCAGCTACCACATCTTAGTACAATCTTTCTCTGGAACAGGACCGCAGCAATTCAGCGGATCAGAATAGGATTGACTTCTAGTTTAAGCAGTAATTGCATTAAATAATCATATGGTACTTTATTGTAGGCATCTTCTAAGTCCAACACTGCCGCACATGTCTCTTCTTTAATCTGAAATCCCTCGTACACATCGTAGGCGAAAACAGCAGCATTGGACCATGTCTCTTTATTTAACCTGTACCCTCCAAGTGTTGATGGGAACTTATCAAGTAGTTCCAAGTAGGTGGTCAATCTTTGTGCGACACAATTTTTTCCAAAAGTTTGCCAACAGTGTTCTGCATAGAGATGATTCTGTAGCCGCAGATCTTTGAGTGGTCTTTATTAGGCTTTGGTAGTGGGAACAAATAACTATGGAGCCATTCCTCTTGTATCTGGCCACTCTGGATGCTGATATTGAATTCCTTTGCCACGCTTTTCAAATCCGCATTTGACATCATCAGCATGTCATTGTATCGGATGCCGTCAGGGCCTGGAGCAGTGCTGCGTGATTTCTTGAGGCAAGTTCTTAAGGTGTCTGTAGTGATTGTGAAATCAGTGCCTAGCTCAGTGTTCTCGCACAGCATCGACAGTTTCATCTTAACCCCTATTCTTGCAGCTTCGTCTTTTTGATCAGTTTGCTCCAAGTAGCGCGCAAGAAGGGTTTTTCCTTTATCAGCATCAGTTCTCTGCCATATCAGGTCTGTACCCTGAAAATCAGGGATACCCCTTGGTCGTGCGGCGCTGTGCATGCTCCGTTGAAGGCGCCAGAATGTCACAAGAGATCCCTCGGAGCAAACGCTCTTGCAGAATTCGTTCCATTTCGCAAAGGTCTATCTGCAATGAGGATTATGGCTGCTTCCAATATCAAGCAAAGACTACTAGTACTTCTATTCTACGGTCTGGTCCTTTCCCCCATTGAATACGCTCTGGCCATCCTCACTGTCAGTGCTACCCAGATTGAACGACTCGAAAAGGTGCAAAATGAAGCCATGCGTATTATTTTGGGATGTACAAGAGACACATCCTGTGGAGCAATAAGGTATCTACTTGACTTTCCAACAATGAACCAAAGGATCAGGATGTGGAGGGCTCGGGCATACCTCAAAATATGTACTGATAAGAAACACCCACTGCATCAAGCGCTTTTTAGTGAAAAGGGCGACAGACTGAAGAGGGGGAAATCGTGGCTAGGTCGGGCAGAAGATGTTATTAGGCAAATATGCAGCCTAACCGACATCATACCTGGTGCAGAATGGATACCTGTGCCTCAGGCGTTTATTTGTACATTTTCCTGTATTGTCACACTCAACAGGCGATGTAGAGAAGAGAATCCTGTTGCTGTTAATGCAGAGGTTAACGCTCTCATCGGTGAAAATTCAGACCGAAGCAGATGCACTAATCTATACAGACGGATCTGTTATACGCCAAAGAAGAAGCGCATGGGCATTTACAGCACGCTCAGCGGGCAGAACAGTCAAAAAGAAGCCAACGGCGCCTTCTCCATGACAACCAGCAGCATGACGATGGAGGTGATGGCAGTGACGCAAGCGTTTGCCTGGCTTGAAACACAAAAATACACCCGCATATGTATACTCAGTGATTCAATGAGTATGATCCGGAGGGTTTCAGGCAGGTTCAGTGCGAAGACAATGGCTTGAATCAATTCAGAGTCCACTGTGCGAGGAGTCACCTTAATTTTTGTTCCGGGACACGCAGGCGTCGATGGAAATGAAAGAGCTGACAGGTTGGCTGGATCCGCTACCACTACCGACGGTCGGCCTATGGATCATGCTGATATTATCAATGCCCTCAGAGAAATGGGAAGGATAGAGGACTTTGGTGGCAGTGAATCCACATCACTCGCCAGAATGGCAGACTTGGGAATTAAGATCAGCACAGCAAATAACGAGACGCACACCGGACACGTCAGAAGACTTGTTAATCAACAAAGAACTGGTACTATTAGCCATCGGACGTTGGGGTTCATACTGAGGGGAGGATCTGAGCACCTATGGACATGTCCGGAGTTGCAATGATGATAACCCAACTAACTAACTAACTAATATATATATATATATATATATATATATATATATATATATATATATATATATATATATATATATATATATATATATATATATATATATATATATATATATATATTTCAGAAAACAAAAAAATGCCCTTAATGTAAAATAAATACATTTTTGTTTATTAATTTTTTAGTGAGCAGTGTAAAATGGTTGTTGTTTAAAGGATTTTCAGCAAATACTCACAGGTTCAAATACCCATGTTTTTTAAATGTGTGGGGTGAAAAGATCTAAAAAAAAAAAAAAAAATATTGGGCATGCTGTTTTGTGGTTTGCAGCTTGAATGCTATATCAACACAATTTCAGCAAATCCTTGAATAGTCATCTGTTACAACATGCTTATCAAGGGTAGTGGGTCTATTTTACACCCTTCTAAATGGAGCACCAGAACTCCAAAAAACAAACACCAACTGAACAGCAAAAAGAAAATATAATTTCTTCTTTTACTTTGCGTTTACCGGCTGTAAAACTTTGGCAGCAAGTTCTGATTGTTAGTCCACTTCTGGACTTTAGTCTTGTTCCAGAATTTTGAGTAGTGGGCACATCCGATGTGCACACCCAACTTATCTGCATGCAGACTGTTGGTTCCTCACCTCTCAAGCAGATAAACTCCCTATTCTAAGGATATTCATCATTAGTCTACTCATACGCCATGCTTTTTATGGAAGCAGTGAATCTATTATTTTTTTCCCTTCCGATAATGGGGCATGGAAACCCACCAGGGAAACAAAAGATATGAAGATTCATAAAGTGATGGTTGGTTTGTGAAAAACTAAGACAAGATAAGAGAACATCAAGTACTTCCTGGAACTGGGGGAATCTCAATCAAAGAGAAGAATTATGCACCAAGCATGAGGATATCTTCCTATCTTTTCAGAACTAGAGAAAAGAATAAATTGTTACAAGGTGAAGTATCTACTCACTCAGGATGGTGATGTTTTCCATGTGTGCCATTTTCACAGCCGGCCCCAGACTGGCAACAAGTTTGTTCAACAGCTGTTAGAACAACAGAAATGTTCATAATCAGACATGCTGACAACACACTCTATTTATCAGTGCATAAATCGACCTCCTTTTTTTTTCAGCACTAAGTCCAGACATAAATATTTCAATCACATTCTGTGTATAAGACGATCTCCAATTTAAAAATTAAAAAATGTAGGACAACATATCATCTCATATACGGAAAATATGGTAGATTTGTTTTCTTCTTTTCTCTAGCCCTGTTCTGCATTTCAGCATCAGGTTTTGAAGAGGCATCTGCTACAGTCTTGATGTGTGCTATGTAGATGCTGGTGTTCATGGTCCTGGGTATTGTGTCTAGCCACTGCTAGCGTGGGCGACCTCTAGCTGCTTCCGTTGTGTCTAAGTGATATGGTACACTATCCTGTGGTAGTCTTGACATATGTCCGAACCATCTGATCTGTTGTCTGTTGATGTCATTAGGCAAAGTTCCGTTCCAGCATGTGTCCTGAAATCAGCAATTCTTATCCTGTCTCTCCTTGTTACATTTAGGACTACATAGATATCTTACCCCACACACACACACACACATGTACACACACACAAACAGTAAATTTAATTTTTTTAAAGTTACAGTGATTTCTAAGTTCTTTATAATAATAAACTTATATGTTAAAATAATAGGTTCTTGCACAAGACTTGTCTCAATTAATAAAACTGTTATTTTACAAAGAAAGCAGCCTATATGTTTTTTTAAATTAACTACCACTTGATCTGCTGCTGTTCAGGCTGTATCTTAGTGAGCCAGTAATCAAACTAGATGACCGCTATCACTAACACTGACCATAGTTACAAACAATGACCATTGACCATAGTTACTAACACTTAACAATGACCATAGTTACTAATACTAAACACTGACCATAGTTACTAACACTTAACACTGACCATAGTTACTAATACTAAACACTGACCATAGTTACTAACACTTAACACTGACCATAGTTACTAATACTAAACACTGACCATAGTTACTAACACTTAACACTGACCATAGTTACTAATACTAAACACTGACCATAGTTACTAATACTAAACACTGACCATAGTTACTAATACTAAACACTGACCATAGTTACAAACACTGACCATAGTTACTAACACTTAACACTCATCATAGTTACTAATACTAAACACTGACCATAGTTACTAACACTTAACACTCATCATAGTTACTAATACTAAACACTGACCATAGTTACTAATACTAAACACTGACCATAGTTACTAATACTAAACACTGACCATAGTTACAAACACTGACCATAGTTACTAATACTAAACACTGACCATAGTTACTAATACTAAACACTGACCATAGTTACTAACACTTAACACTCATCATAGTTACTAATACTAAACACTGACCATAGTTACTAACACTTAACAATGACCATAGTTACTAACACTGACCATAGTTACTAACACTTAACACTCATCATAGTTACTAATACTAAACACTGACCATAGTTACTAATACTAAACACTGACCATAGTTACTAATACTAAACACTGACCATAGTTACTAATACTAAACACTGACCATAGTTACTAACACTTAACACTCATCATAGTTACTAATACTAAACACTGACCATAGTTACTAACACTTAACAATGACCATAGTTACTAACACTGACCATAGTTACTAACACTTAACACTCATCATAGTTACTAATACTAAACACTGACCATAGTTACTAATACTAAACACTGACCATAGTTACTAACACTTAACACTCATCAAAGTTACTAATACTAAACACTGACCATAGTTACTAACACTTAACACTGACCATAGTTACTAATACTAAACACTGACCATAGTTACTAACTCTAACACTGACCATAGTTACTAACTCTAACACTGACCATAGTTACTAATACTAAACACTGACCATAGTTACTAACTCTAACACTGACCATAGTTACTAACACTTAACACTGACCATAGTTACTAATATTAAACACTGACCAAAGTTACTAATACTAAACACTGACCATAGTTACTAACTCTAACACTGACCATAGTTACTAACACTTAACACTGACCATAGTTACTAATACTAAACACTGACCATAGTTACTAATACTAAACACTGACCATAGTTACTAACACTTAACACTCATCATAGTTACTAATATTAAACACTGACCATAGTTACTAACACTTAACAATGACCATAGTTACTAATACTAAACACTGACCATAGTTACTAATACTAAACACTGACCATAGTTACTAACTCTAACACTGACCATAGTTACTAACACTTAACAATGACCATAGTTACTAATACTAAACAATGACCATAGTTACTAATACTAAACACTGACCATAGTTACTAATACTAAACACTGACCATAGTTACAAACACTGACCATAGTTACTAATACTAAACACTCATCATAGTTACTAATACTAAACAATGACCATAGTTACTAATACTAAACACTGACCATAGTTACTAATACTAAACACTGACCATAGTTACTAATACTAAACACTGACCATAGTTACTAACACTTAACAATGACCATAGTCACTAATACTAAACACTGACCATAGTTACTAACACTTAACACTGACCATAGTTACTAATACTTAACAATGACCATAGTTACTAATACTAAACAATGACCATAGTTACTAATACTAAACACTGACCATAGTTACTAATACTAAACACTGACCATAGTTACTAACACTTAACAATGACCATAGTTACTAACACTTAACAATGACCATAGTTACTAACTCTAACACTGACCTCAACTAAGTATTCCACTGTAATCTGTCCGCCTCTAAGAGTACTGATGGAGTCCCCTAGGCTAAGCACCACGGTGTAGAACACACGCAGGAGGGCAGTTATTTTAGCTGTTACGGTCTCCAGAGTTGTTTCATTCACTGCCTGGTTCAAATCCTTTCAGAACATATGATATAAGATTAGACTTTGGAAAACATTGCAATGTCTACAGCTTCACTAATACAGCATTATAGAAACCATCTAGATACTTACCTCTGCTACACGAATCTTTATCAAAAATCAATTGCTTCATAGATAAAATACAATTGCAGTGTGAAAGATGTGTGTTTGGAAGGGTTATCTGTAAGGTGGGACTGCACGACTTAATTTATGACCCTGTGGAAAATATGGAACTGTTTGGTTCATTTTTGGGACCCTTTGGAAATCAAGTTTGTTTGTTAATTATGTTTTCATCTTTGTTTCTCATCAAGCTTACCAGTTATCACTTAAGTTTTGTTGTTGTTGTCTTTAGCAAGGAATGCACTGCTAATAACAACCTCACAAACAAATGTGTTGAGGTGGCAAGCTCCTTTTTCCCTTCTTTTCTTTCTTTGTAAAACGAGGCAGAGCAAGGCAGAGACACTGAGTTACTCAGAGTATTTTGGTGATTTAAATTACCAACCGGGTCCGTGTTGTCAACTGCAGATTCAGAAAATAGTGAGTAGCTTGTTGCCACAGAACTCGTGACACAGAATGTGAAATTGCACATACAACTGCTGATTTGTTGCAACTTCTGCTTGCATCAATGACAAACTGCAATTCTAGTGACAGACTGTCTGTGTTGGCATTTCTGATGGCTGCCTTATACATTTAATGTGTGTTATGTATGCTATTCCCAATAGAGACTGTTCAACAATGCAAAGATTAACAGCATTAAACGCATATAGTTAGACCAGTAAGGAAATTATAATATTGAATTATGCATGTAATGCATATGTATGTTATTTTGCTTTGTGAAGACCACATCTGTGTGCATTTTTTACAGTGAAGGGTCAGTGATGGGCATTCCGAGTAGTTTTCGCTGGGCAAAGGAATGGAGCAGCTACGGGGTGACATTTTTATCATTAAACTAGAACTATGATTGACTGAGAAGGTACAAGAGAAAAACAGAAAGAAGACTGATGTCAAAACTTTTCTCATCACATCCAACCAAGTAAACAGAATCAATTTAAGACAGTTGTTTCATGCTGGTAGTTATTACCAGCGACATCTCAAATCAACCACCAATTCAATCAACAGGCTAATGTTAGGTTTAACATCCTACAACTCACCTGTTCCAACATGAGCTCAAGATCCTCTGTGAACTGACCCAGTAGCATGACGGAAAACTGGATGTCTGCTTGCCAAAACGCTTGAAGCTGTACCAGGGAAGCCGACATGTGCTCAATGAGATGCATGGTCTGAGTGGGGTCAATCAGCCAGCCAATCACAATGTCTGTCACTTCCTAATTAAACAGAGACACAAAAATTCATTACATTTTACTGGGACTATTTAATAATTATACTAGCTTCTTCTTCCGGCTTCACTCTTAAAAGGAGATATCTGCACCTTTTGATCCAACATTTCAGAAGAGGTTAGATAGACACTTGCTTCCAGGCTAGATTACAGTTCTAAGCCGGGCAGATTTTGAAAGTGACCTTGGCTCCCAGGTCAATCAGCCAAAAATAAGTACCATGATATAAACTAGGAAGTAAAGATGCTATTTTACACTGATTTTAAAATAAAATGAAAAATGTAATACCACTTGTAATTACTGCATTTTTGGTATAGGCTGGAAAGGGGGGGGGGGGGGTCTCTGAGCCCCAGGATTTAGAGCCACATGGCTAATGCCATTGCCACAGATTGTGAAGGTTAGGATTTTATTTTTGCCACCGACGGGATTCTGAATGGGGATTTGGGGCTGAGTGGTCTCGGGGCATGGCGTCTGCCTTGACTGCTGGAGGTCCCGGGTTCAGGCCCCGATGAAGGCTGGGATTTTTTCACGTGGACTTCTAGTAATTTCCCCTGGTCTCTGGGTAGTAAGATAGGATGCCCATGTGTATTGTTGCTCACACTAAAAAAATTTTCTTGGCAGTTGGAAATCGAAAAGAGTTGCCTAATGGCAAAATTTGGAGTTAAAAATCTACCCAAAGTATTTTCAGGATCCTCGCCGTTGCCACGGAGTTCGTGCACTGCGCTGAAATTCTATGGACTCAGGCTTGAGTTAGAAGTGGAATGGAGCACTTATGGGTTACTATCTTTCTGCCATGATGTTGATCCGTTGTTTAAACCTTAAACCTAATGAGGATTCAAAACTGGGTCACCCACATAAAAGCTCAACATCCTAAACCAGTCAGCTAGCTGCTCCTCTTTATACCAAATATTATTTACTATTTACACTGAACGCCTTCTGTACTATTTTATACTGAATGGTACCTGTAATATTTGACAATGAATGCCACCTATTCTATTTTACATCTAATTTCAATTTCATCTGTACTATTTCACAAATCCAAATTATTCTTACAAATTGAATACTGAATATTGGAAGGGCAATGAAGATATGATGCTTCAGATATGTCCTCAGAATAATATAAAGATAATATCTGTTGTAGCAAAAAGGATGCACACAAGCTGTCCACCTTCCACCACACATGTCTACGTAGAATTATCAAAATTTTCTGGCCAGATACAATCTCAAACACTAAACTACTTCAAGCCACAAACCAAGAAACTTTAGATAGTATGATTACCAAGAGAAGATGGAAATGGCTTGGCCACGTTATAAGAATGACTTCTGATATACCTGCCAAAACAGCTCTCACATGGACACCAGAGGGAAAGAGAAAACAGGGGCGCCCAAAAACAACATGGAGACGAACGATGGAAAGTGACCTGAGTGCGGCATCTTTGACATGGAAAACTGCACTGAAGATTGCACAGGACAGGAAAGCATGGAAAGTCCTCTCTGAAGCCTCATGTGCCACTAGGCATAACGAGAACTGATGATGATGATGATCTGTTGTAGCGATACTCTATATTTGAATAAGTGATTGAGAATGTATGTGACGGAGTCATGGATGTAATCAGACTTGATGCAATTACAGTAAAGAAAGAAAAACAAATAAATACACATGGTAGTTTTAATAAAAGCATTCAATAAATAAACAACTCCTCCTGGGTAAGTTGAACATGGTGACACTGAAATGGCTGCTGCATTAAAGGACACAGCACAAATGGATCAGACTAGTGTGCTATGAGGTAGATATGGATAACAAGTAAAAAAAATCGAATAAACAGAATTCTTGAGAAATAACATTTAGAATAGAACGGAACAAAGTTCTCAGACAGAAAAAAAACTTCTTATGTCAAATGTGTAACTATAAATTCTGAGGCACACTGTATTAAATAAGAAGATGGTTAGAGGGAGACCATGAAAAGATGCTGGGAGACAGTCTGACATCATGGCATGGAAGAATATCTATTATATCAGAAATGACTGGCAACTGATGTGACATAAGAGTGTGGACAGATATGACCAATGCCACACCAACATGGAAGGTGAGAAGAAGGCAACTATCAGTAACTGGTAACTTACCCTGAAGCATGAGCCAAAGATATGAGGAAACACTCGAGCAATCACCGTGATGATGTCCAAGACGACCATGAGAAGGCTTGGTGTGACGGCAGCCTCCAACATCTGATGGACATTGGCCATCACATTCTGTGGTCACATACAAACAAACATGTAGCAAGAAAATCTATGGGGGAGCCGGCTTCTTTTTCTTTCTTCCGCCTTAGCTCTTACAGTGAATATATGGGATATGGTCCAGCACCAAATAACGTGTTTTAAACCTCGCCCACAGCAAGCAGTTTTCCTGACACTTACAGGTTTTTGCTGACATTAAGTCTTTGGCTGTGGCCACTATGCCTACACAACAGCTATGGTACTGGCTGTAATTATATAACGTCAAGACATGGTGGATATCTTATCTTTTAGTTCGCCAGAGTGAGTAATCGTATTGTGCTTGTTTATAGCAAAGCTGCAATATTTGTGCCTTTCGGTCAACACATCCAACTTCTTCAAGCATTTGTTGACCAGGTTACTTTCCTGTATAGTTTTGTGAGATAAAGACATGATGTCGCCTTAACTGTGTGGTTTTCTCTTTGTTCCCTTATCTACACTTCTTCTCACCATCTAGTTTCTTAGGGTAAGAGTTTCAGCGAAATAAGGAGGTATTTCTTTTCTACAAACATTTTGAAAAAAGGGAATTTTTTAAAAGATGTTTACGCAGTGAAAGAATTAAGGTATGGAAAAGGGCCCTTCACTCACTTCATACACATATTACGTCTTTTATTGAAAATATCAAAGCTGACAACAACAAAAATGGTGACAATATTAAATTACACAACAATAATTAGAAAACACCACAGCAGCGTGGCACCCGAAAATGCTGAGCATGTGCTCCAACACTGTCAACTGTATGTTGACAACAGAGACGCAATCTGGCCTGTTCCAACCACAATGATGACAAAACTGCATGGTACACGAGAGGATATGGATTGCACAATAGCTTTCATAAAGGCTACCGGCCTCCTGATATAAGTTTTCTAAACAGAAGGATCGAAGAAGAAGAAAAAAAAGATCATTAACATCAAGCGCCTGCCAGCTTGCCTAGGCGTCCATGCATCTCCACAGATCTTAGTCTTTCATGTACTGAAACAATTCCACTGATGACACTTCTCCATGACCCTGTCTTAAGCCACCCACCATCATTTCTTTTGGTCTGCCTCTGCCTCTTCTACTAATGATCTTTTCAGTCGTCATGACATTTTCCTGTGCTCCTTTTCTCATCACATGACCAAAGAACTTTTGTTGTCTTCATCTCATTGCTCTATATAATGTTCTACTTTCATAGCCACTTCCAGGTAATCATTGTTAGTATTCTGGCAGTTCAAGGTATTTGCAACATTCTTCTCAAGAACCACATCTTAGTGAACTCTACGTATACTAGTTACAATTATAATATATTTAGAGAAGGCATAACCATACCTCAATGTGATCTCTGGCTTTGTGTGGTGCTTCCTCCTGTTTGAGCATCTAGTGGAGGTAATCAAGAAGAAAGTTTTCATTGCTCACAAAAAAACTTTTCACCAACCTCAGCTCAGTGATAGATTTTCATTGTAAAATAACTGCTAGAAAGTCATAAAGGTTACCTAGTTTTAACCAACCAAAGAAAAAAGATATGTGAAAGCAGACCCTCATAATGGTTAATTCCAGCCTTACTCAACCAGTATTTTTCATTTATAACACAATTACAATGCCTTAGTGCCCATGCACCTGGCTAACAAACCTATGCTTTCATCTTTTGAGGACCAGTTATATACTTCTTTCACTACCATTTAAATTGACAATAGTATATTCATTTACAAATAAGGGTACTCTGTCTATTTCACCTCTTTGGTGGATATGTGCTTTATCATGTCATGACTGTCTACTTCCATCAATGACACACTGCAATTCTGGTGGTGACTGTTAGTGTCAGCACTTCAAGTGATCGCCTTATGCATTTACTGTGTGTGCATATTTCTAGATATTCTTCTTTTGTCAAAATCTGCTTGTGCCGCTAGGCGTCGCAGTCTATCAGATGATCGGCAACCGAGCCAGGGCGCGCTCAGTCGCTTCATATGCCGTGATGTTATGAAGTCTCAAGTTGTCCGTGACTCCTTCAATCCATCTTCTTCTTGGTCTTCCCCTGCCTCTTGTTGTTTCGACTTTCATGTTGTATGCTCTTGATGCTGGCATCGTTGGTTCCATTCTCATTAGGTGACCAAACCATTTCATTCTTTGCTTCTCAATAAATTTAACGATGGGTATGGTTCCAATAGTTCTTGTAATCACATCGTTTCTCACTCGATCTCTTCTGGTTTTATTCGCAGCCATTCTCAAACATCTCATTTCACAGGTGGTTAGTCTTCTCTCGTGTTCTTTTGTTAATGTCCAAGTCTGACATTGATAACCTAATGTCGGTATAAAGATTGTATTTATAATTTGTCTTTTTATCTCAGCTGGGACAGCAGGGTGTTTTAAAATTGGGGCAAGCTGGTTTGCGACATTGTTGGCTTATTGGATTCTTGCTTCGATCTCTCTGTCTATTTTACCATTGGATGTAAAGATACTTCCCAGGTATTTAAATTCTTGCACTTGTTTTAGGCTGTGATCTAGAATCTTTATGTCGATGGTCTGTTGCTCTCTACTTATGCTCATGACTTCTGTCTTTTCAGTATTGATCTTCATATGATGCTTGAGGCAACTGTCGTGTAGTAGGTTTATGTGGTCTTGCAGCTGTTTACTATCACTGTGAAATATGCATTGATCGTCGGCAAAGAGCAGCTCATTGAAGTCCTCCTGTTTATCGACATCTGTTGGTGTTATGTCTATTTTATTAATATTGTCCATAAATATTATGAAGAGTAAAGGTGATAATACACAACCTTGTCTTACTCCTGATGTTACTGGGAACCAGTCTGTGATGCCAGCTCTTGTTCTAATGGCGCTTTCACTTTGTCTATAAATAGCCCTAACACAATCTAAAATTGTTCCATTTATACCGTAGTTTTCAAGAACTTTCCATAATAAATTTCTGTTTACTCTATCGAAAGCTAGATATTACCAGATTACCATTTCTAGATATTACCATTTCTAGATATTACCAGATTAAATACCTTCTGTTTACACATGCTTTCACCCAACGCATGCATTGTCCTTTGAAGACTTGTTCATGATTGGCTGGATTTTGCAGCAAACATTCACACATAGTAGTAGTGATGGTGATGGCAGTGGTAGTAGTAGCAGCAGTATTAGAGATTTTAACTTCACTGAAAATGGTCACCCCATAATTGCTCCACTCCTGTGCCAGTAAAAATCCCACAAAAAGCCCCTCACAGTTCCATTTAAAACCCACTCATCAGTCTGGGTAAAATCTGAAAAAATATGCACAAGACAGTCCCTAGAGTTGCCAACACTAACAGTCACCACCAGAATTGCAATTTGTCCTTTGATGGAAGTAATCAGCATGACAAGTTGGTTGTATACACACACAATATTAATGCATAAGCCACATCAAAATGCAAACAGGCCACCAGCCAAAAGTTTTCTGTGGGATGGGGTGACAATGGTATATCAACCCTCTTCAGTGATCATTTAACAAATGTCTAATGTATGAAACATGCATTCACATATGCACAAAACAAAAAAACTGTATGTGTCACTCACCTCTAAGAGTGCCATGGATAAAAATACTTTCACATCATCATCTGCTGCGTTCACATTTGAAAAAGCCCATTCAAAGAATCTGAAAATATGACACATCGATTAGTATTTAGAGAGAAAAAAATCTGTAGTTAAACAACTAAGGGTTTCTTGCAATTCGCTGTCAATAAAAATATATGCAATTTGTCATCTCTTCTCCTCTTCTTCCATCAGCTCTTTTATCTCTCTCTATGTGTGCATGTGTTCGTGCTTGTGTTTTTTCTTCTCACCAAACACCCAGTCCCCCTCTCCTTTCCAACTATTTTGCTTTCTGCTTGTCTGCTTAAGGATAAATTTAGTCGTCTCCAATGGCACGCACACACACTAAAGAAGACTTAACAAGATCCTGTTAAAAACAGATTTTCTGTCTTTTTTAGCTTTCTGTATCTTTACTAAAAAAAATTGTTTATTTAAAACTCCATCTGCCTCCTTCTGTCTATTTCTGACCTCCTGCTCTATTCTTCAAAGAAGTTGAACAAGGAAAAACAAAAGTATAGCACAACAAAAACATCAGACATATATTTAAATACCCATGAATGTCTTGTCCTGAGAGGCAGCTTCCCAACAACCCTATACAGACTGCAACTTTATGCTTGAGCTCTTTGCTGATTCTTTGGTGAAGAAAGGAAAAACAAAGTCAATTACAGTATATAAATACAGTTCTGATCAACTGCTTGTTTTAATCCACGATTCCTGAATGTCATGTGGTTGGTACACAACACTGTTGCATCTTTGTGAAAACAAAGTCACTTTTTTCCTTCTTTAGCATTTGCTCACAGGAATGTAGTTAGCACGTTATGTTGTGGTTTACAGCTAGTCCGCCTTTCAGTTCAAATGTCCGATTGAGGCACAACCCACAACTAGTTGCCTTTTAAGACAAGCATATTAGGGCCCAGGAACCAGAACAGCAAGGTGAGTATACAATCCCCACATTTACTTACTCACTCTCAGTGTAGCTGGTGCAGCTTCAGAGGATAAGAACCTCCATGAGAATGAAACAGCTCAGGAAACACAACAGAACAAGGGTAAAAATAACCCATGAGCCATCTCATGACAGTTAGGTTCAGAAGTGATTCCCATACTGGGCCAGAATAATGAGGTTATGCTGCCTGTCATTGGTTCCTGCAGACCTACGCTGTTTCAGGGAATGCACCTTTACAAACAGAAAAAAATGTACGCAACACTACACTTTTACCTGGTTTTGGAGTGATAATCAAATGTCAGCCTCTTCAGACAAGGAAGAACAGTTTAGGGGTAAAAGGGGGGGGTGGGGGAAGGGCATGGAGAAATTGAAAATTACTCCACAAACAGTACATGGATCCTTGTCAGTAACACAGAGTTTGTGCGCTCTGCTGAAAGACTCTTTGCTTTCTTGGGATGAGACTGGAACACTTGTGGGCATTTCAAAAATACTATACAATTATCTTTGGCCAAAAATCAAGTGATATAACTAATAAAAGCTTCTCCAAGCTGTAAGGTAGAGACCAAGCTTAAAAACTCAATCACTGCTGTTCAAGACTGGAAACAACATTAAGTTAAGAAGACAAATCTGATCGACATGAGATACCTGCTCTGTGAATACATCTGGCCACAGATCTAATCAAACAGTGAACTGAAATGTAATCTAAAATCTCATACAAAGATAGCAATGTAAATTATGTAACCTGTTACATTAAAACTTGTTCCAACAATAGATAACTTATTTAAGACATACAAAAGAATCACATGACAAACATTACCTCTCAAACAGAACATTCTGCAAGCCATCAATTGCTTCAAATATCTGTTTTGCAGACTGAAAGAAGAAGCAATCACAAAAAATGAAAAAATGAACGAACGAAATGATGTCCACACACTCTTTCCCCCCTTCTTCTTTAGCATTCCGAGCCCTTGAGGTTCATTGCTGCAGATATCACCCGCCTCCGTTCATTTCTCTGGTTGGCCTTCTCTTTCCAGTTGGTGACACCAAGTGTTTGAAGGTCTGTCTAGATATTATCTCTCCAACGTCTTCTTAGTCTGCCTCGTGGTCCACGGCGATTCATCTCCCTCGTGTATACAGTTTTTACTTCTCTGTCATCTGACATTCTTTCAATATGCCCCAACCATTTGAAGCAATTATCAGTGGTGATTTAAACAGATTATGAATTTCATTGTTGATTCTCACTCTCCATTCACTGGTGTTTGCATCTTTAATGGGTACAAAGATTCGTCATAAGAATGTTTTTGAAAGCCTGTAATAAGGCTTTTAGTTGTGCTCCAAGTTTCAGAGCCATATAAAACGACTAGTCTTATCAACGTTTTATATATTTTGATCTTGGTGTTGCGAGGCAGACACTCTGATTTTAGCAGATGTTGAAGGGCATAGTATACTTTATTTCCAGTTTGTATTCTAGATTATCGTATTCTAGATTGTATTTCTTCTCTCAGCATGTTGGAGCAGTTGAAGTTTGCACACAAGTAATTATATGTTTCCGTTCATTTGATTTTCATATTATCGACTTGTATGTGGCCGGGGTTTTTATCCTTTCCCCATCTAGTTATTATCATGTGTTATGTCTTATCTTGATTGATAACTAGTCCCATTTTCTGAGCTGATTCTTTTAAGAGAGTCAGTGTTTTAACACTCTAGTTCATTTTCTCCAACGATATAAATGTCATCTGCATATCCAAGCATTCTTGTAGATTCTCTTATCTGGTAATCTGGTAATCCTAGTTTCAGCTTCATAGCAAACGGGTCACCCCACACATGCTCCGCTCCTGTGCCAACGAAAAACAAACGCAGCTCACAGTGTCACGCCATGCACTCAACTCAGAAGCTGGGCGACGAAACTACATCCTTCCAGTCTACAAATGGAGCAAAAATGCAACGGCCACCGTCTGGAAAAATATTTGCCACGGCTTTAAAAAAAAAAAAAAAAAAAAAAAAAAAAGGTGGCCGTACCTAGCGTCCATTTTGACCGGAAGAATTATATGAGGGTTAATAAACGGTCACCCCAGCAGTACCCTCATTATTAGCTGGGGAAGGGACTTAGGACATTACATCCACCAGCAGGCGTCGCCCCTACAACGACCTGCCTGCCCTCGTAAACGACTGTTCACCCAACAGCCATGCAGTTCTTTGGCACGAAGGAGACACCTTGAACTTGGGTTTCGTACTGCCGACTCCCTACTAAGATGTTATTTTATGTTCTGTTATCACAATTAATGTCACTGCACATTGGGCATACCCATGCGTGCTCAGTTCTCCGAAGCAGCAGCCACTCTAAAGTACTTCTACTAATTGTCCCCATGAGAAGCTGGTTATATTGTCTCCTTTCTCGGCCTCGAAGACGGCAAAGACGTGCATCACCATGCTTAACTCCCATGTCACGCAATCGTGTTAGTGTCAGGGATTCCTCATTCTCCACTAGCCCGGTTCGTACAGCGTTGACTATGTCTGCTCTGTCCATACTTTTTCCTGCAATCATTAGTGCAGTGCTTGCCAGTTGGACTCTTGTTTCAATTTCTTTATAATTTTCTCCAGGGCCAAGTTGAAAAGAAGTGGGGACAGAGCATCACCTTCCTTTAAACCAGATGTTATTCTAGAAGGGTCTGACTGTCTGCCTTTATATATTACTATATTACAAGAGCCTTCCATACATAGTTTGGTCATGGTAATTAACTTCTTTGGTATCCAAAGTCCTTCACAGCATTCCATAAACTGTTTCTATGCACACCGTCATTCGCCTTTTAAAAATCCACAAAAACATTTTTTACATCCTTTCTATATTCGCAATTTTGCTCTGCAATTTGTCGTAAAATGAATATCTGATCTAATGCTGATCTGTTCTGTCGGAAACACACTTGGTAATCTCCCAATATGTCTTCGACACATAGTTTTAGCCTGCTTAGCAGTACCGCTGATAGTATCTTATAGCTTGTTTTCCCCCTTTTCTTTGAATGTCCTGAGCTGGGCTGAATTAAATAATGGGCTTGAAGTCTTTTTCTTGCTTCTCCTTAATTTAAACTTTAATCTACAAATCACTATTCTGTGGTCATACCTGACGTCAGGTTTCCTTCTAGCAAATACACCTTGCAGGTATTATCTTGTCCGATATACAAGATGGATAAAACTAAACAAATAACTGCTGTAATTTCTGACAGGACCGCAACAATCAATCAATCAGGTACCATCTTCACAATGAAGGTTGGCTGCAATGGATCTCCAACATCCTCAGTCTCTTATTTTGGTTGTACACTCTCTCAGACAACTATTAACCCATCTCTTGCTGTTTTCCCATTTGTATGACTGTCTACCTCAGGCCCTCAACCTTTCCCTCCAGTATGGTTTTTAACAGAGGCTTTCGTCTTTCAATGCGACCAAAATATTTCAATTGTCTTTTTTTTAGTTTCTCTTAGTAATTCTCTTTTCATTCATAGTCTTTCCAGAACCTCTTATTTGACTGACAGCATAGATATTTTTAATCATTTACAAATATACAGATAGACTGGATGGCCCTTTTCTCCGCATAATATATTACTGCATTTTCTTCCTGTTCAGATTCTGCCCTTCTCTTAGTTACTTTATTGTGGTTTCGTTTCCTGGTATGCTTTTGAGCAGCTACCTTGCCATGTTCAGATCTCAGGTGATGGAGTTTACTACTCTTGCAGGTTTTGAACACCAATAGCGCATATGTGAAGATAAACACTTGATGGCAATCAGAACTGGTGTTGTGTAACATTCTGGTAGCCTGCTCTAGTGCTAGGATCCCTGCCTGCTCTAGTGCTAGGATCCCTGCCTGCTCTAGTGCTAGGATCCCTGCCTGCTCTAGTGCTAGGGTCCCTGCCTGCTCTAGTGCTAGGATCCCTGCCTGCTCTAGTGCTAGGATCCCTGCCTGCTCTAGTGCTAGGATCCCTGCTGTTTAGCTGGAACAGAATTTACAAGTGGGTCTATACTTTGTGTGGCAGTGGTTGTCTGGGTATGTGATAAAGACGCCAGCACTCCCAGTTTTAACTGCACTGGTTGCTTATCCATCTGTATGAGCATGTATCGACTGTTCAGTCTCCCTGGATCAGGCTACAGGGTTCATAGCCAAATTTACCAATCAATTTCAAGGCTTTTCAAGGTCTTTTTTAAGGTCTCCTTAGTTTTTTTCAAGGTTGTCTCGGTGTAATACTGAAACAAGATTTTTGCCTTGTTCAAGGGTGTACTGAGCACACAAGGTACTTCATTTGTGCCACATGTGTTGGTATACCAGCACAGATATCATCATCATGTAGCATTTCCTTTGTCCTGACAAAAAAACCTCGGTCTCTCACCAGCTCTCCCGCCTCATGTACTTTTTTATGCTCAAGGAGTCACTTATATCCTGTGCCCATCTTCGTGCTGGTCGGCCCCTGAGCTTGATATAGTGTTTGAAATTTTTTTTAGGGCTTGGTGGTAGAGGGCAGCAAACTGAAGTCCTGTTTGTTCTGGACCTGGTACCTGAGAGGGTTAGGGGAGAGAGAGAGAGTCATGAAGAGAGAGGAAGACACATGCTGAGGTAGGCTGGGAGAGACAGTGTAAAGATGGACAGATGAAGGTATAGAAAATAAGGAAAAGAAGTCTGGGGAAGGAGGAAAAAATGAGAGGGAGGGATGGAGACATGATGAGGAAAAGTGGGGAAGGAACAGCAAAAGACAGAGAGGGAGACAAATACATAAAGAGGGAATGCAGATACAGAGATGGGCAGATGAAAAGAGAAGAAATAAGGGAACGAAATAGAGATATGGAAGGAGGAAAATATGACAAAGAGTTGAAAGAAGGGAGACAGAGGGAGAGAGAACGGACAGGGTGAGAAGCAGATGCAAGCAGAGAGAGATGTAGACATAAAGGAGAGAGAGAGACAAAGGGACAGCACAGAGAGGCAAGCAGACAGAGGGAGAGAACCAAAGAAAGAGAAAAAAAGGCAGAGCAGGAGAATGGGAGGGAGGTATACAAAGAGGAAGTGATGAAGGGAGGCAAACAGACATAAAGCAAGAGAGAGAGAGAGAGAGAGGTGGGTAAGGAAGGCAGTGACAAACACAGATTAAGAGAGAGGGGCAGGAAGGGAGACAAGATACATCAAAGAAAAAAAACAGCCACCTACTCCGCCCCCCCCCCCCCCCCCCCACACAATTTCAAGTGTAGTGGACACAACCACTAGGAAAAGATAGTTATGGGGCAAAAAAATACGTAGATGAACCAGTAAAAAAAATGATGGGGGGGGGAGAGTATGAGAGAGGGGAGCCGTTAAGGAAATCTAGAGAAAATGAAAAGACAGGATGGAGAGGAGACAAAGAAGAGATGGGACAGGAGAAAGGGCAAGGAAAGGAAGAGAGGAAGAATGCAGAGAGAAAGGAGAATAGTAGAAGATCAAAGGAAAGAGAAGGGGTGAGAGAAGAAAGGTAAGACACGGTTGTGGGGGTGGGGGGGGGGGGGGGTGTAAGAACAATGAGTGCCAAAAATAGAATTAGGAAATCTCTAAGTGAGGCCACTTTTCTGGTTCCTACCCTCTCCCAATGTGAATGTGGCCTTGGTCCAAAAACAACAGTGCTAACCCCTACTGCCCCTTGCTTGTCCTATCTGTGTGTGACAACAATAATTCAATTTCTTACACTTAAGGCTGGTGACCTGAGAGCCAAGGTCATTTTATGAAGAAAAAAAAAGTCCAGGGGATCCCAACCCACCACTGATGGAAAATAGAGAAGTTTACCCACACACATAAATAGGTCAGACAAATAGGTCAGGGCAGCAGTGGACTTCGTTTTATTTCTGGTTTTCCAATTACAGAAAGGAGGGGAGAGAGGAGGTGGTGGAAAGTGGTGTAGAAGGGAGAGGTGGTAAGGGTGAGACAGAGGAGGTGAGAGAATAAAGTTTAAGAAAATAAAGTGGGAATGAGACAGGGAGAGAAAGAAGGAAGTAAGAAATAAGATGAGATATAGAGGGAAGAAGGTAGCAGGAAGGGGTGCACTCCCTCCCCTAGGTGTCACCAATGTGGGAGGAGGAAAAAGGGGGGGCGGGGGGGGGGGGGGGGGGGTGACAGCAAATGTGTTTTTAAAAGTACACATATATTTAATGTGTGGGAGGGGGAATGGTGGACATGAAATGTTCTGCACTAGGCAACACATAACCTTCTACACCAACTGAAGGTATGGAGAAAGAAAGAGAGAGAGAGAGAGAGAGAGAGGGAGGGAGTGAGGAAGAGTGGCAAATACAAAGAGAAAGAAGAAAGCAGTGACACAGACAGGCAGAAAGTGAGGAACAGGTAGGACAAAATGTGAGGGGGCGGGAAGGGAGATGGACAGAGATTAAGGCCGCTAGGAAAACAAACACATCAAAAGAAAATATCCACCATGTTCACACAGAATGCCCCCCCCCCCCCCCCCCCCCCGGGGAACAACTTCCTGTGTACTCGAGTTGCTAGGAAGAGTTATGGAGCCGCACATTTACTAAACATTTAAACAAGAAATAAAATAGGAAAAAGGGGGAGGGGGGACAGGAAATGAGAGAGTAAAAGGAAAGATAGAGAGAAAGAGAAGAAGATGAAGATCAGAAGGGAGGGTTAGAGACAATGCAGGAGACGGTAAGGAAGGAGCAATAGGTAGAAGAGTGAAAGAGGGAGGGAAGAGAGAGGGGTGAGACAACAGAAGAGGGAATCTCGGGGAATTACAATACTGATCGCCAAACACACTGTAAAGATAAATCCAGGCCAAAAATAGAACTGGGAAATCCAGCTGCAGTCACTTTGCTTAGCCCCAATGCCATCTCTAATTAATAGAAAAGGCCCTGCTTAGCCCCACCACGGCGACTCTATTTATAAATACAACTGAACCGAGCCCCACCAGAGACGGAAGCTGCTCCTTCCCGCCCCATGCCACACTGCTGCTGTCTGCGTGTATTCATGATCTGTAACAAAGCCCGCCCTCCCCTGGCCTTTAACAAGCCATTTCGGCTGAAAATAGCCAATAATCAGCTGCCCTCACACCTGAAACGACCATACAACGAAAGAAGCCAAAAACTAGTCAAATGGCCAAAAAAGCCAAATGGCTCCCCCAAAATTGCCTATGCTGAAAAACACAGGATTTCTTACGATTTCAAAAATTCACGGCTTTTCAAGGTCGGAATGTCTTTTATAAGCTAAAAATCCCGGTTTAAGGTCAACGAAAAAAATCCCGGTAATTTCCCGATTTCCCGGTCCACTACGAACCCTGAGGCTAAGAGCAGCTGTTCATTTTTGGCCATTAGACACATCTCCAGCTGTGAGTCCACTGACTGAAATCATATGTACTGTATCACCGACTTGCTCTTAAAGTACAGGGTAGGTTTCAGCGGTCTTGTTCTCATGGGTAGATCTGATTGATACAGTCTTCTTTCTCCCTGATGGAGAAAGTGTTTGAGACAGCCTAATGCCAGATCATCTAATCTTGCATTTACTAGGTGTGACTGCATACTATTAAACTTGGTAGCCACTCAAGGCTGCTGAGTCGACATGGAATCTGTACAGAATACTTTAAACTAAATACCAACGCTAGTAAGAGATGTTACACACAACTTTTCCCTGCTGCCATGAAAAGTGTCATTTTAGACAGGGGCTTTCAGAGCCAAACCAGCGGAAGACAAGGGGAAACCACCAATAAAATTATCGCCAGAAAATCAAGATTTTTTATAAGCTGGACTGTTGCTAGAGATTGCAAGATGTGTAGAAGCATGATCGCCCATACCAGTCAGTTAAGTACTTGATGATGACCAATGCAAAATCAAAGAAAACTCAAAGATCATTTCACAGACTCCTAAAGAGCTGCCCACCAATATGAATGCTTACTATGAGACGAGAGAAGCCAACTCAATCACTCCTATTTCTTTCCATGCCAAATAATCTCTGCTCTGGTACTATTTTGCTAGGGAGGGCCAACATAAAAAACATGTGCAGACAGGATAAAGGAAATATCTTGTTAGGACTAAATACTGATAGTTTTGCTAGTAGGCCAGTGCTCTACCCACTATAAAGTACATTAAAACATATAAGAAAAAAAAAAAAGTCATATAAACTTGACAAACAAATTTTTGTAAATCGTATTCATAAAGAGTAAGTACCTTGCTTGTCCTAATTTCTGGTCCATGGAGATACTCCCTCAGTTGTCGAGCTGATGTCACACGTCGATCTCTTTCTGAGCCAGTTCGTGTGATGCGTTTTACCAGCTTTGTTAAAGGATCCTCAATGTAACCTTTACTGACATCTTTACTGTCTCCTGTTAAATATAAAATGTGGTGCTGCATCCTTTTCGCTATATCATTATTTTTCTATTATTTAATCCAGTAGTGTTGGGTTATGGGCAGGCTGATATGACTGACTGACTTTCTACCCCACCAGGACATCACACAAGCGATAAACACCCGATGACACAAAGTGACACCATGTGGATGAGGATCGCCGTGGAGAGGTCCCAGAAACCGCGTTCAGACAATTCGCCATATTGATGGCCTGCCTATATTGCGGCCCCTGGCAAAAGCCAGAGTGGGGCTTCAAATAACAAAAAATTACATCCTAAAAAGGACGTAAAGAATACACGACAATTAGGCAAGCTGATATATTGGCTGCTGCTGTTTGTCTAGCTGATGAAATCTATACTATAAATCACAAACTCTTTCTGTATTTTTGAGTGTTTATTACAAATGAAGTGTTAACTCTTCCCAAACCATGATGCAGGTTATGTTTGTATTTGCCATTATGACTACAATGTTTAATTCAACAGTAACACTGGCAGCTCAGGCTATTACGTATTTCTGTATTCATCAGCAAAAGTACACTATCGCTGGAGTTATATCCCTTCGAATATTTTTCTTATTGTTTCCATTGACAAAGAAATTTTTAAAAAATTATATTTCACTGTTTTTCTTTAAACCACATTTATGTGTCTGTCTCTTAAACTGTTAAATACTGATATTAATATTACAGAGTATGCCTCGGGTGCACTTAGGGACCATGACTAAAGATACGGCAGCGGTCTAGACAAAGATGAAGTAGAAGTTGGGATACTAAATGCAGGGTTTTAGTTAGGCCCCTATTTCCACTAGGCCTACATATAGGGCAGCGGTGGAGACCAAGATGACGTAGAGGACGGGAGAATAAGACCTTCACTATCCCGGGCGAAGCCGGGCAATTCAATCTAGTTATTTATTTAAAAAAAGGTGGTTAAGGTGAAAACTGGGTGAAGTGATTAAAGCAGCAGAACAGTGTCTATATTTGGTGAGAATGATGCAGTAGGAATTCAGCAGAGGGTATAAACCATACTTTACTCATGTGGGAAGGGGGGAGGCACACAAAAAAAGGTAGAGGGGGTTGGTGGTGGAGAACAGGATTTAAGGCCACATTTTGTCCCCTATTGGAAAAAAACAGTCCATCATCTTATACTGGAATAGAACATGGATCCTCAGAAAGCTCAGCATACTATCCATCTGGCCAGCCACTGCTCAATTTTCAAACGGAATATTCGCACTTTCGCCCCGATGGTTCATTCTGTAAATGCTGTTTCAGTCCAGCTCTCTAAGGGTCTTCAGAACATCTGCAGCTTTCTTTTCCTTTCCCTTGATGCCTGCAGATCACTTAATATGGGTTATTTTTGGGACTCAGTAAAAGTAATGCCAATGTTGTCAGCAACAATTCCATTGTCAAGAAGTGTTAAATACAACATAAAATGTGACTATAAAGCTGAATGGAGGGCATGGGAAAGACATGCACAAATATAACTAAATGTTTCATCAAAACTGCATCAAAAGAGCACTAATACACAATCCAAACTGTGATTCAATAGAGGGAGTTTAAAGGACATGCACAAATACAACCGAACATTTTAACTAAAGTCTTTATCACAACAGGATACTAAAAATATAATACAAACTGTGACTAGAAAGCTCAACAGACAAGACACTGTCACAGTGCTTATGGTCATAACAAATGCACAGCTATTTAAGCGGTCAGAAGCTGAAATCAGCTGATGCAGTATGTGAGCATGAATCAATCTGTGCGCCGACAATGGCGCCATTTCCTCATGCCATGAGAAAAGGTTGTCAAGAATTATCTAACACTGTCTTCCTCTGTCTCTACTGCCACAAAATGTTTCCAGTGGTAACGTGTAATATGTAGTTTCAATTTCATCTGGATGACAATGCCATACTATTTCCATTCTACTAATTATCAAACACATTTAAAATACAAACCTTTCTTCTCATAACCGGTACCAGATGGTGGTCCTTGATTTATTATCTGTGGCCGAGGACGGATCTGTAGATCCTCAACTCGTCTTCCTGATCGACTGCTAGATGTATTGCTTCGCCTCTCGACAGCATCATCAGCTCGCCTTCCTTTGAGGGCCGGATTCGGACTGTTCGCACTACCACTTGGCCCGTTAATGTTTCCTGGGGCATTACTGTTACTCTGTATAGTGCCAGTACCCCCTCTACTGGTACTTCTCCTGTAAGGAGGTTTATCCTTTTGCCTGTATCCATCCCGTCCAGAATAGGCACTATTCCTATTATCGCGAGGTATTATGTCACTTCTTGACAGAGACTGCCTCGACCTATTATCAAAACCTTCACCACGACCTCGACGTTCTGCAGACCTTGCCATCGGAGTCGTGTTGTTTTCTCGGCCATCCCCAGCTTTGCCAGCGTAACTGTTGACTTTGGCATCGTTGTCTGGAGGTCTGACACTTTCAGCATTCAATACTTCACTCATAACAGGTGGCTTCTATCGGGTTTTCATAATAAAACGGGGACCTTGTGCCCGATCAATAACGGAATCACTGCAGTGTGGATGTGTGATAACAGTTGTCTACTTCAGAATGGAGAAACTGAAAGCTTTCAAAGTCCGCCATGATATGACAGTCCTGCACCAAATTGTCTATAAATAGATTTCATAGTAGAATCATTTCTTTGAATTGTTGTATATTTATTCCCGATATTACTATCTTCTATTTAAAATAAACACACGCAATATTTAAAATATAATAGTCGCAAAAAGGTTAACATGTCAGCATAGAAAAATAAATTCACATATCCATTGCGTAGTTTGCGACACAGTGGTTAACCGGTGTCCAACGAGAATGTTATTACAATAAAGTTTCCGTTATTTACGACATTCACAATTGTTTCCCTGTGCGCAGTATTTCTGTGTCTATCCGCCAGTAGAAGTCGACTTCTACGTGGTAGATTTTTTTTTAAAAGTGGAATGGAATAGAAAAAGTAGAAGTTTCTCGTAAACTGAAGTACATCAACCACATTTAACACCATAATGGTTTCGTAAGAACAGTAACGGAGGGTATGGGTGCGAGTCTTAGGCACTCGAGTCCCTCCCCCCTTTTCCCCCACCTCTATCCGACAAAACGAAGCACCCCAACAAATGTTAAGAGGCTAAGCGACCCCCTAAACATGTATTGCAGTTCTCTATTAAAGAGATAAAAAAATTAAAATGCATTTATTTATCATTCTTCATAGCGATAGGGGCAACGAAGATGAGAAACGTGTGTAATGATTATTATTATTACGCACTTATCACAGCCATATCCTCCTTTAGGGACAGTCCCCCCCCCCCACCCCGCCCTACCTTAGGTAATTTGTAAGGGGGCTAAGCCATCCTTAGGCCCTCCTCCCAGTGTTATGTTATCACGATCGACGTCATTGCATATTGTGCTTTTCCATGCCCGATCAGCCCTCTAATGCAGCAGCCACTGAAACAAGGTTCCCTTTAAAAGTTGGTTATAGTGTCTCCCTTCTTTACCTCGAAGAAGTGCATCACTAAGCTTTACTCCCAAGTCACGTTGTTAGCGTCAGCAGTTCATCATTATAACCCACTCTAGTTCCCACAACGTTGATGATATAAGCTCTGTCCATGCTTCTACCAGCTGCATTAGGACCATTATTTGTCAACTGGTCGCCTCTTTCATTGTCTTTTACTCCTGCAAGTACAGGCGTGTAGATTCAAAAGATGGAGGTTAACTGCGATTTAGATTCCACGATTTGGATCTTCTTTATGTCGGTTCGCCTCTTAAACACCTTCTTCGTCGCTTGTCAAGCCCCACCCAATGGGTGGAGTGATGGGTAAACAATTTTTGATTGTTTTCCTGCAAGGATATCTCGACCTCCTGTCCACATTTTTTGTGTTATTTGTAGAAACATATAGATTAAGTTGTTTGCGATTGTGATATTTTATACGAGGATAATAGATCTTTTACTTTTACTTCATATAAAGTAGAACAGAATAGTCATCTTCTTCTTTAGCATTCTGAGGCCTAGAGGTTTACTGCTGCAGATATGACTCGTCTCCATTCATCTCTCTGGCTGGCCTTATCTTCACAATTTGTGACACCAGTTGTTTGCAGATCTGGCTGGACATTATCTTTCGAACTTCTTTTTTGTCTGCCTCGTGGTCTACGCCCATTTCTCTCTCTGGTGTTTACAGCTTTTACTTTTCTGTCATCTGACATTCTTTCAATGTGCCCCAACCATTTTAGTCTGTTAGCTCTCATGATGCCCGTGATCAATGGTGATTTAAACAGATTATGTGTTACGTTGTTTCTTCTCACTCTCCATTCCCTGCTGTTAGCATCTTTGATGGGTCCAAAGATTTGTCGTAAGACTGTTTTTGAAAACATGTAATCAGGCCTCATCTCTTTTATTTCTGCTTCAAGTTTCAGAGCTATATAAATAAATATTTTGATCTTGGTGTTGCGAGACAGACACTTAGACTTTAGCAGATGTTGAAGGGCATAGTATACTTTATTTTTATTTTGTATTTCTTCTCTCAGCATGTTAGAGCAGTTGTGCACCCAAGTACTTATATGTTTCCGTTCGTTTGATTTTCATATTATCAACTTGGATGTGGCCGGAGTTTGTATTCTTTCCATGTCTAGCTAGTATTGGTACAGAAAAGTAAACATTTAAAAACATTTTATGTTTAGTATCCTTCCGTCAGTCTGAGGTAACTAATAACTAGGAATGAAAGAATCCTAAGTATTATAACAAGTAACTAAACTTGGAAATTGTCACTGACAGCTTAGTTAATGCATGAAATCTGCAATAGCTTTCAACAAAACCAATCGTTCCATGTTGTCAGCATTAAGGGCGTGTATGCAGAAGCGGGTGTAAGGTAACTACTATTCGTAATCGGCCCAACCGCAATTATTCGGCCGAATATCGAATAGTCAATAGGTCCACTATTCGGCCCCGAAGCGAATACGAAGCGAATATTCGGTACAGCCCTAATTATGAGTGCTGTATAACTTTTAATAGGCAGTCCAGCAAGGACCATCGAATAATGATATGCCTCAAACAAGCAAAAATGCATTCTTATTACTTATTATGCAGGGGGAAAAAATCTGACTCAACGTTGAGAAGGAAGCAGATATTAATATATAACTTAATCCATTTATATTCCGCCACAGATGAAATATAATAGTTCGAATATCGGAACTAATTTCTAAGCGCACTATATTGCCCTTGCTATAGGCATAGTTCCATTGTATGGCTGCTAGTTGTAACAGCAAAGCTGCCATTCACCTCCTTAATGGCTTTCCATGTAAATATCACGAAAATCACTTTATCTCGTAGGGCGCGAGATTTACCACAGGCTGTCCTATGTTCAAGGGGTGTCATGTTTTCCTTTTTTCAACGCTACAAGCATTTTATGCTCCTCGTTGTGAGCACATTCTATTTTCCATGTTGTCAGTGACCGGCATTGTGGGGTTTCTTGCGTTGTACGTTCGCTCTTCATCGCTGTCACCGCTGCCTTACTTGGTTACTTGACCTAGGGACCGCCCCAAAACCTCACCAATTCTCAAATCAGTGACGGTTGCACAAGAGTCCTAGTTTACAGAGGTGAGAAAACTAGTTGAACACTCGCTTGCGCGCACGCGCGCACACACACACACACACACACACAATCGCTCAAGGTNATGAAGCATCAACTGATATAAGAACTTACAGGGGAAGCCAAAAAAGATTGAACACACTTCTTTTTCTTTTTCGCATTACAAACTTCTTTCTTCTTTCTTCTTCTTTCTTTTTCTTTCTTTATTCCTTCTTCTTCTTTCTTTCTTTCTTTCTTCTTTCGTTCTTCTTCTCTTTCTTTCTTTCTTCTTTATTTATTCTTCTTCTTCTCTCTCGTCTTCTTCTTCTTCTTCTTCTTCTTCTTCTTCTTCTTCTTCTCTCTTTTTGTTATCTATTCTTCTTCCTTTTTTCTACTTCTCTTCTTCTTCTTTTCTTGTTTAGTTTCTTCTTCTTCTTTTCTCTCCTTCTTCTCCTTCTTCTTCTCTTCTTCTTGTCTCTTTTCTTCTTCTTCCTCTTCTACTTCTTCTTTTTCTCCTCTTTGCTTCTTCTTTTCTTCTCTTCTTCTTTCTTCTTCTCTCTCCTTTCTTACTCTAATTTCTCTCTCTCCTCCGTCATCCTCCTCCTATCTCCTCCTATCCTCCTCCTCCTCCTCCTCTCCTCCTCCTCATCTTCATGGTCCTCCATTTTTTACTCCTGTGACTTCTCTGTCTCTGGTCTAAACAAGTAACGGACTTGTTCTTGTCGCAGGGAATGCGGACGTAAAGTGGAAAAAGAACTGACTGCCAGAGAGACCGGATGGATCGGATGGGCCCTACAACGGTGGGACGTGTAGTGATGTATGTATGTATGTATTGTTTGATGTACGTATTGGAACATATAATGTATGTCGACAAGTAATGACGATTGTATGTGATACTATGATACAATTGGTTGGGGTATCAGTGTATGGATGTATGTATGTATGTATGTATGTATGTAAGTTCGTATGTATTATGTAGAGTCTCGTATGTATTAGGATTTGTTGTATGTATGCATGTATGTACGGTCTCATTGCATGTAATGTATTTGTATGTTGTGTATTGTATTTCTGTATGTATGGATGTTTCTGTAGTAGTATGTATGTATGTATGTATGTATGTTGTATGTAGTATGTATGTATGTAGTATGTAGTATGTATGTATGTATGTATTGTATGTATGTATGTATGTATGTATGTAGTATGTTGGGTATGTATTGTATGTCTGTATGTATGTATGTGTATGTATTGTATGTATGTGTGGTGTTGTATGTATGTAGTTATGTATGTATGTACTGTGCTGTATGTCATGTAGTGATGTGCCCATGTAGTATGTATGATATGTATGTATGTAGGTATAGTATGTATTGTATGTATGTATGTATGTCTTGTATGTATTGCATGGATGTATGTGTATGTATGTTATTGTATGTATGTATTGTATGTAGTATCGCATGTATGTTATGTATTTCATGTATGTATGTATGTATATGTATGTATGATACTGTATGTAGTATGTAGGTATGTATGTATGTATGTATGTATGTATGTGATGTATGGTATGTATGTAGTGCTATGTATGTTTGTATGTAAGTATGTCACTGTATGTATGTGTCGTTGGTAGTGTGTTTGTGTGTGGTGTGAAGTGGTGCGGTACATATGGGGCATGCGTGTGTGCGTGCGTGCGTGCATGTATGTATGTGTATGTCATGTATGTAGAATATGTATGTTATGATGTATGCTATGTATGCTATGTCTGTATGTATGTATGTATGATGTATGTATGTGTGTATGTAGTATGTATGTATGTAGTATGTATGGATGTTATGACATGTATGTATGTATGTATGTATGTATGTAGGTATGTATGTATGTATGTACGTATGTATGTGTGT